TGATAAACTTATAGATAGGAAAATGAGGTTCTCCAAAGAGGAACCTTTGGCAAGCTTTAACATAATGCAAAGCCTATTTGCTCAGAAACTCTTGACTTATCAATTTCACTACAATCAGATCTGCAACTAGGCTTGTAAGGGGCGACTGACGGGATCGGGTGGTAGAATAGGTCTTCAGCAACCCATGCTTGCCGTAAAAGGTGACTTATGCTTGTCGTAAAAGGCGACTAACAGGATCGGATGGTCAGGCTCGCTGACCTGGTTGATGCATGCCATCGATCCCAATTGCGTGGATCGATGCTCATGATATTAATCACTGGATTGTCTGGTCCAGACTATTATTTACAGACTGCCGTCATATAGCTGGAATATTGCTGAGTGCAGCGTGTTAATGCGGAGAGGTATTGTATCAGAGTTTTGTTTGTTTGTTGTTTAACGCCGCACTCAGCAATATTCCAGCTATATGACAGCGGTCTGTAAATAATCAAGTCTGACCAGACAATCCAGTGATTGACATCATGAGCATCGATCCACGCAATTGGGATACAATCAACCAAGTCAGCGAGGTTGTGTACCCGATCTTGTTAGTCGCCTCTTACGACAAGCATAGTCGTCTTTTACGGCAAGCATGGGTTGCTGAAGATCTATTCTACCCCGCATCTTCACGGGTCTTGTACCATGTAAAAGATCTGCCTTTAGTGAGATTATTGAGAAATGCTCCAGTTTACTGTGAGGGCTGAACAAACACAGCTGCAAAAAAGTGGTCTCTACATCATGAATGGCGCAGTTCACACTGGAATTTCTACATTTATTTTTGTTATGGCTGAAATAATGCCGATGTGACGATGAAAGTTTTACTCACTATGGTTAATGAAAATTATGTCTGTAAATTCGATTATATATAATTGATATAAAGAATGGGACAATATGATAAAACGATTATGAGACACGTGTGGACATTTATTAAATATATTTTAGGAATAAAAAATATGAATAATGATCGCCATAGGCTCGTAATGAAAGTCACATAATGCATAAAACGCATAAATAAAAGCATTTGCTTCCGACTGCATCATATACAGAAATCTTATAAAATAATTGTTACTCTCGAGAAATTAAGACATGCAAATTCAGCAAAACATTTAATTTGCTGATAAAACCAGAAGTTGTGGAGACGGAAAACAAGTGTGTGGTCATTCAATCTTAAATAGCTGGAATACTGCTGAGTGCAGCATTACACAACAAACAAACAAGCAATATATATTCAGTATCTATTTCCAAACCGATACATATAAGTAAACAGTTATGATGACAAACTAAAGAAAAAATACTCTTTATGAAAGGTTACGGAGAGCTGAGGTAACCATGGTAACATGACAAGGAAACCAATACACAAAGCATGATCATGAATTTCTGCCATCTTGTCAACATTCACCCACGATAAATTATCCATCATTGATTGGCTGATGAAGTCGATCATCAGGGATGAACATGAATACTTGCCCATAGGCCCGAGGCTAGTAGAAATTACCTCAGGCTAATCAAATTATAATTCTACTAGCCCATTGGGGCTCTTAGTTTATTGACACTTGCTGTAAATTATCTATTGTTTGCTTGTTAGGTTATGAGTTTATTACCATCCCTGACTATTAATCATAAACATACACACAGGGCCGTCTGACAATGACTCTCAGCATGCTCAGTCGGTGCCATGAACATTTCAAGTTTAATATTTGTTTGTTTGTTGTTTAACGCGGCACTCAGCAACATTCCAGTTATATGACAATGGTCTGTAAATAATCAGGTCTGGACCAGTCAACCCAGTGATTGACATCATGAGCATCTATCCACATAATTTGGATACGATATCATGTATCAACCAAGTTACGACAATCATGGTCACCTTTTACGGCAAGCATGGGTTGTTGAAGACCTATTCGACCCCGGATCTTCAACACGCCGCACTCAGCAACATTCCAGTTATATGACAATGGTCTGTAAATAATCAGGTCTGGACCAGTCAACCCAGTGATTGACATCATGAGCATCTATCCACATAATTTGGATACAATGACATGCATCAACCAAGTCAGCGAGCCTGACCACCCCATCCCGTTAGTCGCCTGTTACGACAATCATAGTCACCTTTTACGGCAAGCATGGGTTGCTGAAGACCTATTCGACCCCAGATCTTCAAGGGTGTCGAAATTCAATACTACCTAAAACAAGTCTCGGACTAATGAAACAAATGATCCCAAACAGATTAAGTCACAGAACTATGGGGCTACAATAGGGCTGGCTCTAAGATGAATATCGATAGCCAGCCCAAGGCTACAGTTGATGTCTTCTTCACTAAAATCAGTGAGTGTGTATGGTTTTACGCCGCTTTTAGCAATATTCCAGCAATATCACGGCAGGGGACGCCAGAAATGGGCTTCACACATTGTACCCATGTCGGGAATCGAACCTGGGTCTTCAGCGTGACGAGCAAACGCTTTAACCACTAGGCTCCCCGACCTCTCCCACTAAAACCAAAAACAACTGTTTCCACCTACACACTCTCCCCTTTACAACCACATAAACTTTTGAGTCTACTAGCCTCAGTATATTGGTTTGGTTGGTTGGTTTGTTGTTTAACGCTCTCAGCAATATTCCAGCTATATGATGGCGGTCTGTAAAATAATCATGACTGGACCAGACAATCCAGTGATTGATATCATGAGCATCGATCAATGGGATCGATGGCATGCATCAACCAAGTCAGCGAGCCTGACCACCCGATCCTGTTAGTCGCCTTTTACGACAAGCATAGTCACCTTTTACGGCAAGCATGGGTTGCTGAAGACCTATTCTACCCCGGATCTTCACGGGTCCCCTTCAGTATATCTCTGAGCATCATTTTCAGTAGAGTTCACTATTATCATATCGACGATTACTATCTGAGCATACGAGACCAAATAGACATGGGCTTTGGACTTGTTCATAAGAACTAAAGAAAAATATAATTTGCCTTTTCCCAGTTTTTAACAAGCGTAAAAAAATGGTTTCAAAATGACGTCATAATGCTCATTAAGATATAGCGTGTTGAAGGAAGTGTTGCTATAGCACGAGGATAAGGGTGTGATTCAAAAACTCCTGTCTTAACTCTCATGTCCAGTAAAGATTCAGGTCTCTTGGTTAAAATACCATATTCGACGTAATAAGCGCCCCGCTCTAACAAGCGCTCACGACAATATTTGCTAATATATTGGCTAGTGAACAATCCCAATTAGCACCCCTTCTGATAGATCAATGTACACAAGACTTATTTATTCTTGTATAATGCGTGTGTTATATGCATCCTTAATTATGGGAAGTTAAATTCTGGAAAAATACATCTGTCATATATAAACATTTCAGGCTGTCAGCATAAACCACAAAATTTACGATCTTTCAACTCTGTTGTTTTTCACCAAAATAATATTCTAACAAGAGACCCATATTTCTTATTTTGAGAGCGCCCTGGGTGCTTATTATGTCGAATACGGTACTAAGCCAGAAAATCTTAAGTATCTCAGGACCTCCTTAGTTTGGAACACTTTCGCAGTCATGACTTTTGAACGGCTTTTATGATGTTTGAGACTTGGTCAATCAGAATGACCTTCTGATGTTGGGCAGTGTTAGAAATTAAGGCAGTTGGTGTAGCTGAGTTAGTGAGTGAGTGAGTTTTGGTTTACGCCGCTTTTTTAGCAATATTCCAGCAATATCACGGCGGGGGACACCAGAAATGGGCTTCACACATTGTACCCATGTCAGGAACCGAACCCGGGTCTTCGGCGTGACGAGCAAACGCTTTAACCACTAGGCTACCCGACCACCCTAGTGTAGTTGAGGTTTGCTGGTGATGGAGACATGAATCCTTCCCACCGACCTGCTATTTTGGTAACGAAGCATATATACAGTAAACTATGTTCCTAACGAACACGATAATAATGAACTGACGAATATAACAAAATGTGTTTTGATCCCGTCCATTTGCTGTATATTTGCTTATAATGAACTACAGTTATAACGAACTAAAATTAGTGGTCCCTTTGAGTTTGTTATAACTGTAGTTTACTGTACAGTCAAAGAACAACATGTATGACTCTTTATGAGCCAAAGTATGGCAGTTTTCATATATGTATCCATTCTCTGACAAAAAAGGTTCGTTTCAAGGTGTCAATTGCGGTAATCCGTTTGTGGTAACTGTAAATAAAGACGAGTTGGTGCGATCTGCCAATCATTTCACAAACAAATTTGCAGAAATGTAAGTGTAAACAATATTGAATGAAAGTTTTAAAAAAATCAATAAATAAGATTAAAAACATAAAGCCAGATACTCAATGAACACTTTTTGTAAACAGATAGTGCAATACGATAACTATCTTGTTTCTTCAGAAAAGATTTGTTGACATGCTACTTTCGGTGTTATGTGTTAACAGTAACATTTGCTGCGGAATAATAGTCAAAACTGTGTGTATAATGCGCACCCCCTGCACAGCTGTATTTTTTAATATACAGTGTATATTTTATTATTGCTCCTATATTATACATAAGCAAAAATAATATTCATAAATAACCATTCTTATTCGTTAGGTTATATTTGTGATACGTACGTATTTGCCACTTTGTGTATCTTTAACAGCCACAGTGTTAATACACTGCATCTGTATTCTACTAATGTTAGTCACATGCAAAGTTATATAGTTTGAACCAATATGCGGCAAGACTGCACTTCGGAAGCAGCTTCCAACGTTAATAGGCCTGGCGACATTGTCGCTGTCGCTTCACTGATTTTGCATGTCTCTTCTGAAGAGCAATACATGAATCTACACAAACTTCGGTAATTACCAAGTTCTGTTTACAGTACGATTTGCAAGTGGTGGGTTTTCAAAACAATGGACAGGGAGTTAATTAACTCTTTCAACGTTAAGACACAGACACAACAGGTGTTGTTGTGTGATGTTATGTGTACTCACTTGTCACCGAATGACCGTCTCCACCAGTCTGCAGCATCACTTTTAGTAATCCTAAACGTCTCCCCTGCATAGGTTCCAGAAGGAGGAGGGTAGATCGCCTTTAACTCCGCAAGCATGTGCGAAAACACCAGTGACAGCTTTGTCAGGTTGCGTCGGAAGTGAGAATTCTCATCGAAGATTTTGTCTCTTCCTTCGCGAAATAGCTTGATAGTGTTTTTGCATTTGCTCATTAAATTTTCAATGAATATTCTAAAATATTCACACTCGTTGAGCGTTTGTAGTTTGTCGTCATGCTTTGAGCAGATCAAACGCAAATGCTGATAGGTGTCGGGCAGAATATCCAGGATGAATGGAGGGCTGTTCCTTAAATTCATCCTCGAATGCTGACACAGTTTCACAACTTTGTCCATCATTTTCCATGATTTCTCGATTGTTCGTTTATCCACTACAACTAATTTTGGAGGGGCTAGAACTTCCTGAAGACGGCTAAACATGTTTCCAAAATTCTTGCCTTGATTTCGACTCCTACCACTCACCGCCATTTTGCCCTTCCTGGTCCAGCCCCGAGTCGACGAGGTACGGCAGTCAATAAGCGGGTCATAAGGATTGGGGATAACAAGTCTACGGAAATCTGCACGGGCCACATGTGAGCAAGAGTTTCAAATTCTGTTTTACAAGGATATGGAGATCCGGATGTGTCACATTTATTGTATTGCGTTTGCAGTTCGTTCGTTACAGTAAAGGTCAAACAAAGTCTGCTTTTTCATGTACATTTCTATGGTGAGAAATATATCCAAGTGATGTGAGGTGTACAATAGTGAATGTCTCAATGTACATTTTTACCAAGTTCATATTGAAATAAAAAAAGAATGTGCGGACACTAGAGGGACCAGTTCCATGTTTGATTGTAATGAGTGAGTGAGTGAGTGAGTGAGTGTAACAATATTCCAGTTATATCGCGGCGTGTCAGCTTAATGTGGAAGGAAAGCCCGAAGTGATGCAGGTCTCAGACGTTTACCACTTTGGTGAAACCCACGAGTACGGGTATGGTGCTGACAAACCTAGAAACATAATTGGGGCGAACCGGGATTCGAACCCACAATCATAGGTTTCTGTCGTGCCCAAGGGACGCAACTCTGCAAAGCGAATCGCGGCATCTTAGACGATTAGCAAACGCTTTGGCCACGAAAATACCCCACAACCCTCGAGTGAGTGAGTATACGTTTAACACTGTTTTCTGGGTTATTATTAGCGTCTCACCAAATATTATCTGTCCAGCGTTAAAGGTACATTTGGATGAGAGTGAGTGAGTGTGTTGTGTTTTAACGCTGTTTTGAGCATTATTCCAATTATATCACGCATGTCAGCTTAATATGGGAGGAAAGCTCGAAGTGATGCAGGTCTCAGGCGTTTACCACTTTGGTGAAACCCAGGGACACGGATCGATATGGTGCTGACAAACCTAGAACCATAATAGGGGCGAACCGCGATTCGAACCCACAATCATAGGTTTCTGGCGTGCCCAAGGGACGCAACTCTGCACAGCCATCCGTGCCTCCTCATTCTGTGGGTTGGCTGCTGTATTTGGGTTTCCCTGTGTGCGGGATACATGTTGTACTAAGTCGTAACGATATGAGTGAGTGAGTGAGTGAGTTGGGTTTAACGCCGCTTTGTACAGTATTCCAGTTTTATCACGGCGTGTCAGCTTAATGTGGGAGGAAAGCCCGAAGTGATGCAGGTCTCAGACGTTTACCACTTCGGTGAAACCCACGAGCACGGGTATGGTGCTGACAAACCTAAAGACATAATCGGGGCGAACCGGGATTCGAACCCACAATCATAGGTTTCTGGCGTACCCAAGGGACGCAACTCTGCACAGCGAATCGCGGCGCCTTAGACAACTGGGCCCCCCGTGCCCCCCGTGCCCCCCGTAACGATATGACAGGCCAAACCCCAAACAATTGCTGATCACTGATAATATATATGCAGACTAGAGTAGCTTCCCTTTGACAAAGAGCAATGCCTCTTGCGGGCGTGAAAAGCGATTTCTGATAAAGTAAAAACAATTTTAATGTGTAAGCAATTGTCGTTTTTCCGATATACTACTGAAAGTTTGCTTAAGACCAAGTTTTGATGATATAAAAAATATCATCCAACCAAAAAAGATTGAAATATCCAAATGGTTGGGTAACCTCTATAGGACTAAAATCACGATGAACGGACAGAGGCATGCAGTCATTGACACGATATGCACCTGTGTTTGGATGTATCGTGACAGAATCGTTGCACATCATTATCAGAGGGCACAACAACATTTGCCACTGAGGATTGCAACAACTGACTGCACTTATGTCCCCCCAGCGTCAAAGACATCGTTTGACGACCGAAGAATAGGGCAGATGCAAAGTGTTGAAACTGGGTCAACACAACGTTGCAAACGTCTTTGTTGTCAGCGAAGTGTGATCAGCGGGGCATGGAATCGATAACAGACGTTTGGATCAGCTTCCCAGCGACAGCGTTCCACAACACAGCGGGAAGACAAGTTTCTCCCGATTGCAGAAAGACATCATCATTTCGTGACTGCCACCACACTCAGAAATGATCTGCAGAACGCCAGTGGCGTTACCGTGTCTACTCAGTGCGTAATCGTCTCCGTGAGGCTGGTTCCGGTCACGGAGGGCATGGATTCGCACCCCACTGATCCGACATTACAGGCAGACGCGTTTGAAACGGGCTGAAGATCACGTCAATTGGACAGACCAGCCCTAGACCAGGCTCTAGTACCTTTCACTAATGAATCGAGTGACTGTCTAGACTTCAGACCCTCGTGCCCAAGTGTGACGTATAGACAAGGAGATTCAGACAAAAGATTTCAGGATTACAACGTAGCCGAACATGGCCGCTATGTGGAACGGGGTCAGGCATGATTTGGGGTGGGTTCTGTAGAGCTGGAAGCACCGATCACCATGTACTACCGCGGGGCATGCTGACAGGTGTGAGCTTCAGGGATGAAGGGCGGTCGGGTAGCCTAGTGGTTAAAGCCTTCACCCGTCACGTCAAAGACCCGAGTTCGATTCCCGACATGGGTACAATGTGTGAAGCCCATTTCTGGTGTCCCCCGCCGTGATATTGCTGGAATATTGCTAAAAGCGGCGCAAAACAACAGTCACTCACTCATCCCCGTGTACGATAACGCACGACTTCATCGGGACAGCGCCGTTGATGCCTACTTAGACCAAGAGACCATTTTCCGCATGGAATGGCCAGCCCGGTCACCAGATGTCTGTCAAACACATGTGGAACTAGCTGCAGATCGTCTTAACATGAGGCCCTGTCCTAATGGAAACTCTACACGAATTCGGCAATACTCTTTCTCAAGAGTGGAACAGTCTTCCCTCGGCTTGGTTTGTTTGTTTGTTGTTTAACGCCGCACTCAGCAATACTCCAGCTATATGACGGCGGTCTGTAAATAATCGAGTCTGGACCGGACAATCCAGTGATAAATATCATGAGCATCGCTCCACGCAACTGGGATCGATGACATGCATCAACCAAGTCAGCGAGCCCGACCACCCGATCCCGTTAGTCGCCTCTTACGACAAGCATAGTCACCTTTTACGACAAGCATAGTCACCTTTTACGGCAAGCATAGTCACCTTTTACGGCAAGCATGGGTCTTCCCTTGACAACCACCGAGACACTTATTCGGAGCATAAGACGACAGAGCCAGGTTAAGATCGCCTCACGTGTATAACATATGACACTGTGAGTAGTATAGCTTCTGAGATATACATGATGTTTTATGTCGTTGTTATCAATTAATGCATTCAGACAGCCTTCAATCAAATATGGCCGCGAAATTATCCATCTTTAGGCAAGCAACTAGGAACACAGGAAATATTTAGCATAAGAACCAGAGCAAAACAAGTCTTTTGCAAAGAAGCCTAATTTGAAACTACATGTACTAGAATCCACAATAGACGCTAACCAAAGCATCTTTTGACATGCACTTAAGAACAATAAATGTCCCTCATATATAAGGCTGCCAGGTGCTGTAAATTTTCAATCTATTCTTGGAAAACCAATAAAGTTATTATCTGCAGAGCAAACTAGATATTTTTGTGGTGATCCTTAGCAAACTCATTACTCACTTGGTAACGTAATGTATTAATGCGCACATTCTTGGAACACTCGCAATGTTTAGGTACTGATGTAAGAGATGAGAAGAGTCTTGGGACAACGTAATTTAAGAATGACTATCATGGGATAATCTTTGTGTGTTTTGCGATGGTAAATATCCTGCATTATGTTTTTTCCTTCTACAGGATGTTTACCATCCCAAAACAAACTCGCGTGATACACGTTACTCTAGTCCCCGGACACCACCTCGCGACTTCATCTTCCTTGGCGATTTGTTAGACGTCAAACATCCTTCCTGGTTTGAACTCTACAGGGCAGCTGTAATGTTGTATAAGAGTGTCCTTGCAAAGTCCTATACCACCAGGAACGTGTTTTATTGCCTCTTATTTCAAGCCACGTGACTGATAAGCAGAATCAGTCTTGGCTGATTACGTGTCATATCGTACCTCGAAAACGTGGGACGTGCTCATGCTATCGATCATTGGTTCGCCAGCTCAGGACTCGAATATTTGCAGGCTGCTGTGAAATAACTGGAATATTGCCAACTGTGTTGACAGTTTGGAACAGGTTTAGCCTCTACATTTTCAGGGCTGGTGCCTATTGAAGGTGTAGTGTATATCGCATTATTTTGTTTATTTAAGAGGCGACTATCGGGATCAGGTGGTCAGGCTCGCTGACTTGGTTGATGCATGTCATCGATCACAATTGCGTAGATCAATGCTCACGATGTCAATTACTGGATTGTCTGGTTCAGACTCGATTATTTACAGACCGCCGCCATATAGCTGGAATATTGTTGAGTGCGGCGTTAAACAACAAACAAACAAATAAACTTACACCTTCATCGGGTGATTAAATGCTACGAGGCACAGAACATATGTACTGAACCGCAAAAGAAACGTCACCCCAAGTAACATTGCATGAAAAATTGTCATTTTAATATCTGGGTAAGTTTTGTCAATGTTTCTAACATTTAACATTACCTTGTCCGGAAAAAAAACAAATTTGATGATAAAAAAACAAAGCGGGTGACAATAAAACCGATCGCTCAAACAGCAACGGCCATGGTAACCCGATGCACGTGAGTTCCGTGCAAATTTAAATGCACATGCGTTCCCCCATTTCTTGCCCTATAAAAATCCACCCAGATCGGATAACATTCTTTCGTTATTGAATTGCTATCACATGCCAAGACTGACAAGAAATCAGCGACACCAAGCCCTTGGACGATTGCAAGCTGGACAAACCGCCCGGCAAGTAGCCCATGCATTTCAAGTCCACGTAAGGACCATATACAGGCTCCAGCAACGGTACCAGATCACCAACACTACACATGACCCACCACGTAGTGGAAGACCAAGGGTAACCACCCGACGTTAGATTGTGCGACAGCATCTTCCAAGATCGCTTTGTTACTGCTGCGGAAACTGCTCGACAGACCATGGAGACACACCAGCCACACATTAGTGTGGACAGTACAGCAGATGGCAGAGACAGTCTGGCGACGCCGTGGGAAACGTTATTCAGATGCTTGTGTTGTTGAGAGAGACTCGTGGGGTGGTCCGAGCATCATGGTGTGGGATGGAATTGGTCTTGCACAGAGGGTCGGCCCTGTGGTCTTCCAGAACATCGTTCCAGGGAGAGGCAATGGTGTCACAGCAGCTCGGTATATCGATCAAGTCTCTAGACCACACGCCATACCTCATTTGGCTCGTCGCCGCAACGACGAGTTTCAGTATGATGGCATCAGAACCATGCAGTGGCCTGCCCTCAGACCCGAATTAAATGCACACGGCTGAATGACGTCCGACTAAGGCCGACAACTGCAGCTGAACTACGTCAGGCGTTCCTCAGAGTGTGGGCTCAAGTGCCTATGGCCTTCATCAACCGTCTCATCCATTCTATGTATCGACGTTGCACGGCAGTCATCACGAGATACTGACTTGTGATGCCATGTTCTCAGAGACTAGAGCTGTGTTTCACTTTAAGAACATTTGACACTTTCATTTCAACCTTGATGATCAGTTTTGCCAAGGTTAATCATTTTAATATGTCTCAAAGTATGTTTACAGCGTTTGGACAAATAAGGTTTCTCATATATCTATCCATGGTGACGTTTCTATCTGATAAATGTACCTGTAAGAACAACACAATTTAAATTATAAAGATAACAGAGGAGGAAACTTCACAAGGGAAGCCAGCAGTTTATTGGCGCAGATAGGTGATTAGCAAAGGACAAATGGGAGCCAGCGCTTAACAGTTAATAGGCTGATATGTGTTAAATGTTGGCTTCCATTTGTTTGTTTCAAGGTGTCAATAGCGATAATCTGACCATGTTGTAAATAACGGTGAGTTGGTACGTTCTGCCGATCAGTTCAAACACGACACTGTCGAAATTAATGAAAGAATTAATCAAATTGATAAAATAGCTTACAAACATACGTACAGATATATACAACGAACACTTTCTATAACCAGATATACTGTGTACTATAGTGAGTATGGTTTTACGCCGCTTTTAGCAATATTCCAGCAATATCACGGCGGGGGACACCAGAAATGGGCTTCACACATTGTACCCATGTCGGGAATCGAACACGGGATTTCGGCGTGACGAGCGAACGCTTTAACCACTAGGCTACCCGACCGCCCCCTCTGTGTACTACAGCACGAGTCTGTTGACATGCTGACCGCCTCCGTGGTCTTGTGGTAGAGCGTCCGCCCGGAGAGCGGAAGGTCCAGGGTTCGATCCCGGGCCGCGTCATACAAAAAGACGTTAAAAGATTGTACTTGTTGTTACCCTTTCTGGCGCTCGGCATTAAGGGGCTAAAACAAGGACTGGTCGGCTCGGAGTCAGTATACTGTGTCTGAGTGGGGTATTCATGTTAAACTGCGGCATGGTATCTCAGTGAGCTAGCACTATAAATCGGCATCAGTCCGGACTAGTACAAGCAGCCACACACACACATACACGTGCATGCACGTCGCTATATAAGTGCAATAATCTTGGACGCGACGTTAAACCCAATTTCATCTCACCTCACCTCACCTGTTGACATGCTAGTACATGCTTGCGGTAACCTATTTGCGTTGGGGGAAAAAATCAAAACTAATTGTATGCGTATACCCACCAGTGCTCACTATACACAAGAGCATTGTCCATTCGTGACCAACTCGTGTTATTCCGGGACAAGCCGAATAGCGACTCGTGCCCCTATCGTGGCCATTTTTGCGACCTGGTTCCATCTTTGCGCAAACGGGCATACCTAAAACAATTGTCAACTCGTTGCGTAATGGTTCACATTGATTTCCCCATATATTATATATATTTCAGATGCAATTTAAAGCACATCGGGACATGCCGAATGATACAGTATAATTGAACACATTTAACTGTGTCTTGGGTATATTTCTAGATGCAAGACATATGTAAAATCAAAAATTATTTCTGAGGGATTCTTTGACGAAGAACTTGAAATCATACGCGCATTCTGATTGGTTTGTCGTATTTTCGCACATAACATTCATCGATAGGGGGGCGAGTCTTCTTGCAGGTTACGGAAAGGGGCGAGTGGTGACGAATGCATTCATCGATAGGGGGACGAGTCTTCTTGCAGGTTACGGAAAGGGGTGAGTGGTGACGAATGCATTCATCGATAGGGGGACGAGTCTTCTTGCAGGTTACGGAAAGGGGCGAGTGGTGACGAATGGAGCATTGTCGTGTTCTCCTTGAAAGAATTAAAAAAGCTAAAGGTCTTCTGCCTCCGGATGAAAATCTACTGCTGGCCGCATCCAAACCAAACCACATGAAGCGTACTAAAATACCTCTGTGAGAGTCGGGAATTGAGTGGGGCGGTACGTTGAGGACATCATGTGATATTGATATAATAGATCAGGTAATAGGTTAAAAGGGGCACTGATCTAAAACAATTCCCCGGGACTGGTTGCTGCCTTTGTTATTGTTTTTACCCGTGAGTACCCGGATGACATAGCAGACATCTAGACTAGTTCGCGACCTGTGCTGCGTAATTCGTAAGCGCATTTGTCACTTTTATTGATAGTATAAGGGCGTATGGTCACATTGATCAACAAAATGAAATACAGTTGTGGAAATAATGAGGAAATGTAGGTATGTTTGTGGGTAGCATCGGTAATGGTGACGAAGTTTTGATAAGTCACTTGATGGGTAATTGTGCGATTTTCGTATTCATTATTTTGACTTGCAACACAAAGTAAATATTTTTCCTGAGCATTGTTTATTTTATCGTGTTTATATTTTTACAGTCAAAAAGTGCAAATTTTTCACGTAGGAAATTTATTAAACGCCTAAAAATTCAGTTATTTTACAAATTGACTGAAAAATCTGTTCATGTGTAATATATCTTCACCAAGAGACAGAAAATGTTACGATGAAAAGTACATTGCTATATTGTTTGGCTTCGAAACCAAGTCAGCAAGCCTTACCACCCAATCCCGTTAGTCGCAGATCTTGATACAAGTATAGTTGGTTGGTTGGTTTGTTTAACACCGCACTCAGCAATATTCCAGCTATATGACGGCGGTCTGTGAATAATCGAGTCTGGACCAGACAATCCAATGATTAATATCATGAGCATTGGGATCGATGACATACATCAACCAAGTCAGCAAGCCTGACCACCCGATCCCGTTAGTCGCCTTTTACGACAAACATAGTCACCTTTTACGACAAGCATGGGTCGCTGAAGACCTATTCTACCCCGGAATCTTCACGGGTCTGATACAAGTATAGATTTTCTGATAACTTTGTTGGACAAATTAGAATTAAATGTACCGTACAGAAAAGTGTGACAGAGGATTGAGTGAGAAACTTGGATGCATCAGACGTATGACAGGAAACGACTCACTAAGCGACCGTGGATGACATTTGTCATAATCGCCTTCACGTTCCGATACGCGAGATGCTGTATGGCACTGCAGGTGTTCCATAGATATCGTGGGCGTTGTTGTAATGATAAACATAATTGCAAAAAACACCGATGAGTTAATTTATTCCGTCCACAATGTTCTTAAACACCGTGCATGGTAAAATGTGTGCTTATAATGTATAACAAATCAGATAATATTTTACGACATCAAACTGACAGCTAAGTTGTATACGGTTTGCGGCATACACGTCAAAGCAAGATGGCGGAGGCCGAGTTTGAGGAAGATACGATATGGTAAAGATTTTATTTGATTCGGTGGTTTGTATTGTTAGTGCGTTATTAATGGAGTATTGACACTGTTTACTTTAATTAGCAAATTGTCACGTTGGTCTTCATTCATATATTCGTGAAACAAGGTATATAATATGTTGCGAATCCTAATTCGTAAGTAGATTCAGTTGTCACCATCTAGGTCTATAGACAATCTTCACATTCAGATAATCAGTTCTCTGACGAACATTGGCTTTTCACAAACAAACATTTTGTTCGCGGATGTATTGAATCGGAATGTAAATTTTATTTATGACCAGGTGACAAGAACATTCAGTGAGTCATAAGGGACTCGCTAGGCCTAGTCCAATGTTTACATCTACCCCTAGTGGTACATTGCTGGTACGTACATCTACAATCAACAAGCATATATATACATCCTAATATGTGTTCTATACATACTTGTTATGTCAACATACTACCCTACATAAGGTGTATACAATAAATACTTCAAAAGCTCAAATTGTCATCACATTCACAGCGTGATCATTGCTTATTATCTGCATGTATACTCGAACCTGTGGTACCGCAGCATTCATCGCGGCATTTGTGATTTCCTGTAGTTCACACGGGACATGCATCCTAGCGTGGTTTACCAATGCATATTGGTAACTAGGAAGTGCTCGCTTTGTAAACAATTTCAATTTCTTCAGAATGTTCCGTCTTCTGCTAGTAAGCATTCAGTAACATGTTGATACTTACCGGTACTTCTGGTATCTCTTTAATATTGCCTATCTCCATCTATCAACGGGCTATGATATAACCCCGCATTTTCCCAAGTAAACTTTCTCTTTCGACCTTAACTAGACGGTCTGCATATTCATGAAGACAAATAACGGAAGTGACGTAGTCCTCACAGTTATCTCACAATGTGGCCAGAAATGTTCAGGAGATAATAAAGGCCACAATGCCATACTTCGCAATACGTTGTTTACTAGAAGCCGAATGATAAATACAAACTGTTGTCATTAAAAGAGTGCTTTTTATATATTTATTAACTTTAAAAAAAAATTCAACTTCTTTTGACAATTTATTTTCGTCCAATTTTTTAAAATAAAAATCTTAAAATGTCTTTTCTGTTATTTTATTGTTCATCTTATGAAAAAGAATTTCTTACTTTTCGGTAAATATGCATTGGATACCTATTAATTATTACACATACTGAATTTTGCTTGTCCTGTCTTTGCACTTGTGTGGATAAATCACTGAAGTCTGGCATCATCATACTTAGTGGTAGGTAGAATTATGTGCTGTTTTTGCCTGCATACACAACTTTTCCCTGCACTGCGATACGCTAGAGTTCTCTCCCTTGTCAAACTGAGAATTTAGGCCCGGCTTTCACTCAGCACAACTTATGTAAATGTAAGCAATGAACTTTTACTGGTAAAATATGCATAGTTAGATAAAATAAATTACATCTGATATAGAGGACACGAATAATCTTTAATGTTAGTGAGTGCGTTTTATTCCGTTTAGCGTACATAGCAAGTACCACGATACCCCGAGGTTGGAGGCTAAACCCTGAAACTATTCCTCATCTGAAGGAATATATGATTTGAATCAGGTGACACCCAATCTCATTAAAATCAGATGTTAGTTCTCCCTACTGCTAATCAAAGATTTGAGAACACCCCATTACGGGTCACGTCAGACCGACCTTGCAAGAATTTTGACCGACAAATGGAAGGACTGACAAGAGGTCGACATTAGCCAATCAGAAGGCAGCTTTCTCGGCCTTTTGGCACTAATTTCAAATTGGCGACTACGCTTCGAAATATATTTTGACATATTCTCGATACAAATTTGAAACCTGAACGACAGAACATTCTGGAATGGCTAATATATGTTCTAGATTGTGTGGATTCAGTTGTTAAGCCCTAAACTATCGTTTGGAATACCCCATGTTAAAGTTTTTAAGGTTGCATGATTGAAAATCACATTCCTACTGTCACTTTCATGATGTGTTAAGCTACGCTGTGATTGGTCGGAATACTGAATTTTTCTTGTGCTGTCTTTGCACTTGTCTGGATAAATCGCTGAAGCCCAGTATCATCATACTTAGTGGTAGGTAGAATTATGTCCTGTTTTGGCCTCCATACACAACTTTTTGTAAACAAACACACTTATTCTCAAATGAGAACAGACGGGCCTTATGCAAGCCTTTCAGCATGTTCAGTGCGCTTGCCATATTGGTTTACATAATTATATAGATATGCTACTACAACTGCAGCAGTGAAGTGCATGACAATATAGGTTTTCTCACCAAGGTGACCGTATCGCTTGCTCTCCGTGGGGCTTCTGTGACAACATGTGGAGCCACAGACATGATAGCACCAAAGACACAAGCTTTCTCTTCAATTTGCCTCCAATAAAAACATGACTGAAGCTAGATATTCTGCGCAGCGCCGCCTCCGTGGTCTAGTGGTAGAGCGGAAGGTCCGGGGTTCAATCCCCGGCCGCGTCATACCAAAAGACGTTAAAAGATGATACTTGTTGTTACCCTGTCTGGCGCTCGGCATTAAAGGGCTAAAACAAGGACTGGTCGGCTCAGAGTCAGTATACTGTGTCTGAGTGGGGTATCCATGTTAAACTGCAGCATGATCTCTCAGAGAGCTAGCACTATTGATCGGCATCAGTCCGGACTAGTACAAGCAGCCACACACACACACACAGGTCGCTATATAAGCGCAATAATCTTGGACGCGACGTTAAACCCAATTTCACCTCACCTCCATGCATAATCCGTGCAGGTGCCCCTTATCTATAGCCCTATTCATTATTAACTGTAGATAGATTTTATCTTCGGCTACGTAATCCCTGGCCACAGTATAGCTCAGTGCTGATAAGAAGGCCAAGTGTAAATACTACCTGGGTGTACACATGACAGGGGGTAGGACATTGTTGTGTAGCTCTTAGGGACAAGTCCAAATTTACTACCCAGGTAACCACCCCCTATTACCTGACCCTACCCGGGTACCCGTTGTAGGTCTCAATAGATAGTGAGTGAGTGAGTGAGTGAGTTGGGTTTAACACCGCTTTTAACAGTATTCCAGTTATATCACGGCGTGTCAGCTTAATGTGGGAGGAAAGCCCTAAGTGATGCAGGTCTCAGACGTTTACCACTTCGGTGAAACCCACGAGCACGGGTATGGTGCTGACAAACCTAGAAACATAATCGGGGCGACCCGGGATACGAACCCACAATCATAGGTTTCTGGCGTACCCAAGGGACGCAACTCTGCACAGCGAATCGCTGCGCCTAAGTCGACTGGGCCACCCATGCCCCCCTCAATAGATAGGTATAAACTGTCTATTGGGGAACGTTTGACCGTAGCTCTTGCAAAATGTATTTAGATACACGTATTAAACAATCTGGTCATGCATATGCACTGATGTTTACTGCATGAAGTTTTATCTTTTTTTCAAACATATAAAATTCAGAAGGAACGTGTGCATAGTCAGAGTGAGTGAGTTTGATTTTACGCTGCTTTTAGCAATATTCCAGCAATATCACGACGGGGGACACCAGAAATGGGCTTCACACATTGTACCCAGCATAGTCAGAAAGAAATGGGAACATTAGTGACTTGTTAGGTGACCATAGAGTTTTAGGTATGTTTTGTCATTAATCAATATATCACATGACTAACCCGCGTCCAGGTAGTCCCGTGGGTCCCCGAGTCCTGCTCAGTACCCACCCGACCCATGTACCCGAGTTACCCATCCCAGCCCTTGTAGCTCTGTAACATCCCTCCCCTTGTACATGACATGCACTGGTTGTTTGGCTGGTCTATTATTGAAAAGATTGATGTGGTTCCGAATACCTGACTGACCCCAAATTAGGGGCCAAACCTTTTTGTCATTGACACCCACTGCTGGTGACAAGACAAGGGAACAAACATGAGAGCATGTACCAAACACTTCTGCCCCGACAGGATTTGTCTGAGTGAGTGAGTGAGTTGGGTTAACGCCGCTTTTAACAGTATTCCAGTTATATCGTAGCGTGTCAGCTTAATGTGGGAAGAAAGCCCGAAGTGATGCAGGTCTCAGACGTTTACCACTTCGGTGAAACCCACGAGCACGGGTATGGTGCTGACAAACCTAGAAACGGATTTCTCTGACAGTTGTTGGTTGGTTTTATGATAAAAAGCCTATGTACCATGCCCACCTGCCTACCTAGTATCGGACCTGTGAAGATCCGGGGTAGAATAGGTCTTCAGCAACCCATGCTTGCCGCAACAGCGACTATTCTTGTTGGATTCTTGCATGATCAACATACGGGATCAGGGGCGGTCGGGTAGCCTAGTGGTTAAAGCGTTCGCTCATCATGCCGAAGACCCGGATTCGATTCCCGACATGGGTTCAATGTGTGAAGCCTACTTTTCTGGTGTCCCCAGCCGTGAAATTGCTGGAATATTGCTAAAAACGGCGTAAAACAATACTCACTCACTCACATATGGGATCGGATGGTCTGGCTCGCTGACTTGGTTGATGCATGTCATCGTATCCCATTTACGATTCTCACGATGTCAATCACTGGACTTTTTGGTCAAAACTTGATTATTCACAGACTGCTGTCGTAAAGCTGGACTATTGCTGAAAACAAACAAACAAAACAACTAAACCTACTGGGGGGACACGGGTGGCCCAGTCGTCTAAGGAGTGCAGAGTTGCGGCCCTTGGGCACGCCAGAAACCTATGATTGTGGGTTCGAATCCCGGCGAATCCCGATTATGTTTCTAGGTTTGTCAGCACCATACCCGTGCTCGTGGGTTTAACCGAAGTGGTAAACGTCTGAGACCAGCATCACTTCGGGCTTTCCTCCCACTTTAAGCTGACACGCTGCGATATAACTGGAATACTGTTAAAAGCGGCGTTAAACCCAACTCACTCACTCACTCACTAAACCTACTGGACATGCTGAACAGAAATATGTAAAAAAAAGAGTAAAACATTAACAATGACTTTGTTCATGTTGTTTGCTGACTGTTGGGAATGTACAGTGTGTTCAGAATGTAGACAGCTGTGTTGTACATACGGAAGGCATTTACTGCTGCTGGTTACAGAATATTACAACCAGAAAGTGCTTTATTTTGCATACATTTGAATAGAATTAAGGTCCATCTGGTGCTATTGTCTGAAGCTGATGGAGTTTATTATAGGGTTGTTGCCATGGTTGCGAGTGATATCACAGTCAGACAAGTATATAGTCAGTGCCAGAACCTTTTAAGTCTACTAGCTCAAACATAGATGTCAATCACTGGATTGTCTGGTCCAGACTCAATTATTTACAGACCGCCGTCATATAGCTGGAATATTGCTGAGTCCGGCGTTATACAAACCAACCAACCAACTCAAACATAGCTTTTAGAATTTTGTATTGAGGCTGGATATCTTTTCAACTGCAGCTACAAAACCAGATACATTGTACATAAAGTGAATATACAGGAGCCGGCTGTGTCCGGGTTTTTCATAACTTTGACACGTCATTATTTATTAACCAATCACAGCCTTGGTTGCACATTAGTTTCGTTACAAGGCTGGTTTGGCTTTGTAATGTACTGTCATCGATCAATAATGTGAGTAGGTCGGCGATCGGACCAATTTTCTTCTGAAAAACTTAAAATATAACAACATTTATTTAGATTCTACATGTATAACATCCAGTCGTAAAATAATACAGACTACTTTGATTAATTTACACAAAGTATTTTTATTTTTTTAAGCATGCAGTTTGAATCATCTTCCACGATCAGTGTTACATAGATCTACATGTCCCATGCCACTGTGAAATAATTGCGCCACTGTTCCATTCACTACCATCATTACGTAATGTGAACCTAAGCAAGGAATATCTGTACAATGCTCTTTCCTACACCGCAGGGTCAGTTTCTTGGACCCTGATGACAGCGGTATATCGAGGGATCACTGTATAAATCTTGCAAGAATGTATTTTTTGTGCCAGACAATTTCTTTCTTTTTTCAACAGTTTTGATTTAAGCATTATTAAGTTTTTCAAACATTTCCTGCGAATCTGTATTTTTTTCGACCAAATACCCCCTCTCGAATATTAAATGGTCGGCCCCTTACACAGCGAGGCAGGGCCAAACACCATGAGTTTGAACTTTGCTTCAGTTAGGCAGAGTTTGCATGGTAGGTTCTGCCAGGTAACATTGATATAATATGTTTCATGGTAGGTAACTTGATAATGTTGATTAGGTGGTGAGATGTACGTGACATGCATAAAAGCTCGGCATGGTAAGGAGCCATATTCAGTTTCCTTGAGTGAGTGAGTGAGTATGGTTTTATGCTGCTTTCAGCAATATTCCAGTGATATGGTGGCTGCACCTGACCAATGTTTGAAATAATTTTAGAACCCAACAAGACAGTCGGGCGGGTGACCCACAAATGTTACCTGCCTACATTCAGACATAATAAAAATTGAAAAATCTTGAAAACTAAGAGGCAAATCACATCTTGATTCAGTTGAAATAATCCCAATCTCATTAAAATCAGATGTTAGTTTTCGCTACCGCTAAACAAAAATCTGAGGACTTCCCATTACGGGTCACATCAGAACGACCTTTCGCGAATTTTGACCAACCAATGGAACGACTGACAAGAAATCGACATTAGCCAATTAGCCGACAGAAGGCAGCATTCTCGAGCTTTACGACACTAGTTTCAAACTGGCAACTATGCTTCGAAACATATTTTGACGTATTCTCAATTTAAAAAATTATAACTGATAAGAAGAACATTCTGGAATGGCTTATAGATGGCCTAGATTGTATGGATATAATCATAAAACCCGTAACTGTCATTCGGAATACCCCGTGTTAAATATTTCGTGGTTGCATGATTAGAAAACACATTCCGACTGTCACTTTCATGATCTGGTAAGCGACGCTCTGATTGGTTGGATGAAAGGTCGTTCTGACGTGACCCTTAATGGGATGTCCTCAGATCTTTGTTTAGCGGTAGCGAGAACTAAGATCAGATTTTAATGAGATTGAAATAATGCAAACAATTGCTTGAAAATCTATAATAAGTTATGATAAAAACATACTCTTAAAATTATCTGCCAGACAAATAGATGAAAATTGCAGACACCGCGACAGAAAGGTTACAAGCCGTGTGCAGGTTGTTATTTCGGACACTGCCCCAGACCTGTGTTACTGTTATCAACATGCTACTCTATGCATGGTTTAGTTATAAGAGTGATGCTGCAGTTCTTGAACTGACTGTACATGTTGCCATGGTTACAGGATGACGGAGCTAGAGACGGCTCTGGTGGAGGAGTGCGACTTTGGTACACTGAGGAACATCTGCAAGGGACGGAGCGTTCCGGAACACCTGAGAGGAGAGATATGGCAGGTAGGCCACCACAACATCCCAGCTGTGAATGTCCTCTGGAACACTGTGATAATGTGTCCTCTGGAACACAATGATAATGCATCCTCTGGAACACCATGGTAATGTGTCCTCTGGTACACCATGATAATGTGTCCTCTGGAACACCATGATAATGTGTCCTCTAGAACACCATGTTAATGTGTCCTCTGGAACACCATGTTAATGTGTCCTCTGGAACACCCTGATAATGTGTCTTCTGGAACACCATGTTAATGTGTCTTCTGGAACACAATGATAATGCATCCTCTGGAACACCATGTTAATGTGTCCTCTGGAACACCCTGATAATGTGTCTTCTGGAACACCATGTTAATGTGTCTTCTGGAACACAATGATAATGTGTCCTCTGGAACACAATGATAATGTGTCTTCTGGAACACCATGTTAATGTGTCTTCTGGAACACAATGATAATGTGTCCTCTGGAACACCATGATAATGTGTCCTCTGGAACACTATGTTAATGTGTCCTCTGGAACACAATGATAATGTGTCCTCTGGAACACTATGTTAATGTGTCCTCTGGAACACCATGATAATGTGTCCTCTGGAACACTATGTTAATGTGTCCTCTGGAACACAATGATAATGTGTCTTCTGGAACACCATGTTAATGTGTCTTCTGGAACACAATGATAATGTGTCCTCTGGAACACTATGTTAATGTGTCCTCTGGAACACTATGTTAATGTGTCCTCTGGAACACCATGTTAATGTGTCCTCTGGAACACCATGGTAATGTGTCCTCTGGAACACCATGATAATGTGTCCTCTGGAACACCATGGTAATGTGTCCTCTGGAACACCATGATAATGTGTCCTCTGGAACACAATGATAATGTGTCTTCTGGAACACCATGTTAATGTGTCTTCTGGAACACAATGATAATGTGTCCTCTGGAACACTATGTTAATGTGTCCTCTGGAACACCATGTTAATGTGTCTTCTGGAACACAATGATAATGTGTCCTCTGGAACACAATGATAATGTGTCCTCTGGAACACCATGATAATGTGTCCTCTGGAACACAATGATAATGTGTCTTCTGGAACACCATGTTAATGTGTCTTCTGGAACACAATGATAATGTGTCCTCTGGAACACTATGTTAATGTGTCCTCTGGAACACCATGTTAATGTGTCTTCTGGAACACAATGATAATGTGTCCTCTGGAACACAATGATAATGTGTCCTCTGGAACACTATGTTAATGTGTCCTCTGGAACACTATGTTAATGTGTCTTCTGGAACACCATGATAATGTGTCCTCTGGAACACCATGATACTGTGTCCTCTGGAACACCATGATACTGTGTCCTCTGGAACACCATGATAATGTGTCCTCTGGAACACCATGATAATGTGTCCTCTGGAACACCATGATAATGTGTCCTCTGGAACACCATGTTAATGTGTCCTCTGGAACACCATGATAATGTGTCCTCTGGAACACCCTGATAATGTGTCCTCTGGAACACAATGATAATGTGTCCTCTAGAACACCATGTTAATGTGTCTTCTGGAACACCATGTTAATGTGTCCTCTGGAACACCCTGATAATGTGTCTTCTGGAACACCATGTTAATGTGTCTTCTGGAACACAATGATAATGTGTCCTCTGGAACACTATGTTAATGTGTCCTCTGGAACACCATGTTAATGTGTCTTCTGGAACACCATGATAATGTGTCCTCTGGAACACCATGATACTGTGTCCTCTGGAACACCATGATACTGTGTCCTCTGGAACACCATGATAATGTGTCCTCTGGAACACCATGATACTGTGTCCTCTGGAACACCATGATAATGTGTCCTCTGGAACACCATGATAATGTGTCCTCTGGAACACCATGATAATGTGTCCTCTGGAACACCATGTTAATGTGTCCTCTGGAACACCATGATAATGTGTCTTCTGGAACACCATGGTAATGTGTCCTCTGGAACACCCTGATAATGTGTCCTCTGGAACACCATGATAATGTGTCCTCTGGAACACCATGATACTGTGTCTTCTGGAACACCCTGATAATGTGTCCTCTGGATCACCCTGATAATGTGTCCTCTGGAACACAATGATAATGTGTCCTCTGGAACACCCTGATAATGTGTCCTCTGGAACACAATGATAATGTGTCCTCTGGAACACTATGTTAATGTGTCCTCTGGAACACCATGTTAATGTGTCTTCTGGAACACAATGATAATGTGTCCTCTGGAACACAATGATAATGTGTCCTCTGGAACACTATGTTAATGTGTCCTCTGGAACACCATGTTAATGTGTCCTCTGGAACACAATGATAATGTGTCCTCTGGAACACCATGATAATGTGTCTTCTGGAACACTATGTTAATGTGTCCTCTGGAACACCATGTTAATGTGTCCTCTGGAACACCATGATACTGTGTCCTCTGGAACACCATGATACTGTGTCCTCTGGAACACCATGATAATGTGTCTTCTGGAACACCATGTTAATGTGTCTTCTGGAACACCATGTTAATGTGTCCTCTGGAACACCATGATACTGTGTCCTCTGGAACACTATGTTAATGTGTCCTCTGGAACACAATGATAATGTGTCCTCTGGAACACTATGTTAATGTGTCCTCTGGAACACCATGTTAATGTGTCTTCTGGAACACCATGATAATGTGTCCTCTGGAACACCATGATACTGTGTCTTCTGGAACACTATGTTAATGTGTCCTCTGGAACACCATGGTAATGTGTCCTCTGGAACACAATGATAATGTGTCCTCTGGAACACTATGTTAATGTGTCCTCTGGAACACCATGTTAATGTGTCTTCTGGAACACCATGATAATGTGTCCTCTGGAACACCATGATAATGTGTCCTCTGGAACACTATGTTAATGTGTCTTCTGGAACACCATGTTAATGTGTCCTCTGGAACACCATGTTAATGTGTCCTCTGGAACACCATGTTAATGTGTCTTCTGGAACACCATGTTAATGTGTCTTCTGGAACACCATGATAATGTGTCCTCTGGAACACCATGATACTGTGTCCTCTGGAACACTATGTTAATGTGTCTTCTGGAACACCATGATAATGTGTCCTCTGGAACACAATGATAATGTGTCCTCTAGAACACCATGTTAATGTGTCTTCTGGAACACCATGATAATGTGTCCTCTGGAACACCATGATAATGTGTCCTCTGGAACACCATGATAATGTGTCCTCTGGAACACCCTGATAATGTGTCCTCTAGAACACCATGATAATGTGTCTTCTGGAACACAATGATAATGTGTCCTCTGGAACACAATGATAATGTGTCCTCTGGAACACCGTGATAATGTGTCCTCTGGAACACCATGTTAATGTGTCTTCTGGAACACCATGATAATGTGTCCTCTAGAACACCATGATAATGTGTCTTCTGGAACACAATGATAATGTGTCCTCTGGAACACAATGATAATGTGTCCTCTGGAACACCGTGATAATGTGTCCTCTGGAACACCATGTTAATGTGTCCTCTGGTTCAGACTGGATATAAATTCCTTATAGACCACAGGTCTGTCTTGTTCAGACACGTGGATTGGATGGAGCTGCAGAAGTGCTGGATATAAATCCCTTAGGTATTAACCATTTAAATCTTCTGGAGAGGGTGGGTGGGGACCATATGAGCCTGATTTTTTTTTCAAAGAATAAGGTCTATAGCAATATTAGGTTTTTCAAGAATTTTCAGGGACAATTTAATTTTTTTGATAGCATCCAAGCCCTCAATAAAAAAATATCATACTCTAAAAGACCTCTAATTTGTAATGTGCGTATATGTGTTCAGATCTGCCTGGGGGTACAAGGGAAGGGGGATGCGTTGGCAGCCTTCGACGGTCTGTACGACATGGAGGAACAGGGCCCACTCCGGGAGGACTGTGCTGCTCTTGTAGGTGAGTTGTAACAGGACCAGGGAGGACTGTGCTGCTCTTGTAGGTGAGTTGTAACAGGACCAGGGAGGACTGTGCTGCTCTTGTAGGTGAGTTGTAACAGGACCAGGGAGGACTGTGCTGCTCTTGTAGGTGAGTTGTAACAGGACCAGGGAGGACTGTGCTGCTCTTGTAGGTGAGTTGTAACAGGACCAGGGAGGACTGTGCTGCTCTTGTAGGTGAGTTGTAACAGGACCAGGGAGGACTGTGCTGCTCTTGTAGGTGAGTTGTAACAGGGCCCGCTCCGGGAGGACTGTGCTGCTCTTGTAGGTGAGTTGTAACAGGACCAGGGAGGACTGTGCTGCTCTTGTAGGTGAGTTGTAACAGTGTCAGGGAGGACTGTGCTGCTCTTGTAGGTGAGTTGTAACAGGGTCAGGGAGGACTGTGCTGCTCTTGTAGGTGAGTTGTAACAGGACCAGGGAGGACTGTGCTGCTCTTGTGGGTGAGTTGTAACAGGACCAGGGAGGACTGTGCTGCTCTTGTAGGTGAGTTGTAACAGTGTCAGGGAGGACTGTGCTGCTCTTGTAGGTGAGTTGTAACAGGGTCAGGGAGGACTGTGCTGCTCTTGTAGGTGAGTTGTAACAGGGTCAGGGGAGGACTGTGCTGCTCTTGTAGGTGAGTTGTAACAGGGTCAGGGAGGACTGTGCTGCTCTTGTAGGTGAGTTGTAACAGTGTCAGGGAGGACTGTGCTGCTCTTGTAGGTGAGTTGTAACAGGGTCAGGGAGGACTGTGCTGCTCTTGTAGGTGAGTTGTAACAGGGTCAGGGGAGGACTGTGCTGCTCTTGTAGGTGAGTTGTAACAGGGTCAGGGAGGACTGTGCTGCTCTTGTAGGTGAGTTGTAACAGTGTCAGGGAGGATTGTGCTGCTCTTGTAGATGAGTTGTAACAGTGTCAGGGAGGACTGTGCTGCTCTTGTAGATGAGTTGTAACAGTGTCAGGGAGGACTGTGCTGCTCTTGTGGGTGAGTTGTAACAGGGTCAGGGAAGGACTGTGCTGCTCTTGTAGGTGAGTTGTAACAGGGCCAGGGAGGACTGTGCTGGTCTTGTAGGTGAGTTGTAACAGGGCCAGGGAGGACTGTGCTGCTCTTGTGGGTGAGTTGTAATAGTTGACCATTTCAACACTGAGATGTCTATCAGAAGCCAGTATACAAACTGTTATTATTTCCTTCCCAGACAAACTTGGCAATGAAGAAGAAGACAAAGTGTCGATTGTGTCGGACCTAGAGTCCATCGTCACGTTCTACTGCAAGTCCCGCGGTGAGACGTACACAGCATCTAACGGCTGGCTGGAGACAATACAACCCCTCTTGGCCCTCAAACTGTCCCGAGCCGAACTCTACAACTGCTTCTATGCCATACAGAACAAATATATTCCCAGGTACACAGCACCAACTTTTAATAATTTGATTGGCTTGTCATCTTGTAAAAACTGGGGTGGCCCAGTCATCTAAGGCCCTCAAATAGTTGTGTTCCTTGGGCAAGACAGAAATCTGTGATTGTTGGTTCGAATCACTGTTCCCCGATTGTTTCTATCTTCAGTCCTTCCAGGTCATTAAACTCTGGACACTCCTCTACACTCCATCCATGTCATTAAACTCTGGACACCCCTCTACACTCCATCCATGTCATTAAACTCTGGACGCTCCTCTACACTCCATCCATGTCATTTAACTCTGGACACCCCTCTACACTCCATCCATGTCATTAAACTCTTGACACTCCTCTACACTCCATCCATGTCATTAAACTCTGGACACTCCTCTACACTCCATCCATGTCATTAAACTCTGGATGCTCCTCTACACTCCATCCATGTCATTAAACTCTGGACACTCCTCTACACTCCATCCATGTCATTAAACTCTGGACACTCCTCTACACTCCATCCATGTCATTAAACTCTGGACGCTCTTCTACACTCCATCCATGTCATTAAACTCTGGACACCCCTCTACACTCCATCCATGTCATTAAACTCTGGACACTCCTCTACACTCCATCCATGTCATTAAACTCTGGACACTCCTCTACACTCCATCCATGTCATTAAACTCTGGACACTCCTCTACACTCCATCCATGTCATTAAACTCTTGACACCCCTCTACACTCCATCCATGTCATTAAACTCAGAACACTCCTCTACAGTCCATCCATGTCATTAAACTCTGGACACCCCTCTACACTCCATCCATCTCATTAAACTCTGGACGCTCCTCTACACTCCATCCATGTCATTAAACTCTGGACACCCCTCTACAGTCCATCCATGTCATTAAACTCTGGACACCCCTCTACACTCCATCCATGTCATTAAACTCTGGACACCCCTCTACAGTCCATCCATATCATTAAACTCTGGACACCCCTCTACAGTCCATCCATGTCATTAAACTCTGGACACCCCTCTACAGTCCATCCATGTCATTAAACTCTGGACACCCCTCTCACTGCCTGTGTTGTTGCCAGGGACTGCCTGAAGACCAGTGGAGCGTTCCATCTGTTCCGCCTACTGCTGCAGTACCACGACCCAGAGCTCTGCTCCTTCCTCGACACCAAGAAGATCACCGCCGACCTGTTTGCTATGCCCTGGGTAAGATAGTGGGATAACTTTAGTACCTGAATAGACTTCTGTCAGACATACCAGTGTCAAACATGCCTGTGTAAAACAGACTAGTGTCAAACATACTAGTGTCAAACATATCAGTGTCAAACATATCAGTGTCAAACATACTGGTGTCAAGCATACCCGTGTCAAACATACTATGTGACTGATATCCTTTCATTCCATGCTACATGACTGATATCCCTTCATACCATGCTACATGACTGATATCCCTTCATACCATGCTACATGACTGATATCCCTCCATACCATGCTATATGACTGATATCCCTTCATATCATGCTCTATGACTGATATCCCTTCATACCTTGCTATATGACTGATATTCCTCCATACCATGCTATATGACTGATAGTCCTTCATATCATGCTATATGACTGATATCCCTTCATACCATGCTATATGACTGATATTCCTTCATATCATGCTATATGACTGATATCCCTTCATCCCATCCTATTTAACTGATATCCCTTCATACCATATTACATGACTGATATCCCCTCATACCATGCTATATGACTGATATCCCTTCATACCTTGCTATATGACTGATATTCCTTCATACCATGCTATATGACTGATAGTCCTTCATATCATGCTAAATGACGGAAATCCCTTCATACCTTGCTATATGACTGATATACCTCCATACCATGCTATATGACTGATATTCCTTCATACCATGCCATATGACTGATATCCCTTCATACCATGCTATATGACTGATATTCCTTCATACCATGCCATATGACTGATATCCCTTCATACCATGCTATATGACTGATATTCCTTCATACCATGCCATATGACTGATATCCCTTCATACCATGCTACATGACTGATATCCCGTCATACCATATTACATGACTGATATCCCTTCATACCATATTACATGACTGATATCCCTTGATACCGTGTTACATGACTGATATCCCTTCATACCGTGTTGCATGACTGATATCCCTTCATACCATGCTATATGACTGATATCCATTCATACCATGCTATATGACTGATATCCCTTCATACCATGTTACATGACTGATATCCCTTCATACCATGCTATATGACTGATATCCATTCATACCATGCTATATGACTGATATCCCTCCACACCATGCTACATGACTAATATCCCTTCATACCATGCTACATGACTTATATCCCTTCATACCATGCTATATGACTGATATCCCTTCATACCATGTTACATGACTGATATCCCTTCATACCATGTTACATGACTGATATCCCTTCATACCATGTTATATGACTGATATCCCTTCATACCATGTTACATGACTGATATCCCTTGATACCATGTTATATGACTGATATCCCTTCATACCATGTTATATGACTGATATTCCTTCATACCATGCTATATGACTGATATCCATTCATACCATGCTATATGACTGATATCCCTTCATACCATGTTACATGACTGATATCCCTTCATACCATGCTATATGACTGATATCCCTTCATACCATGCCATATGACTGATATCCCTTCATACCATGCTATGGCACTTCATGTGAGACTGTGTGACTATGTATGTGGCAAGTTGGACGTTGTCTGTCATGAAGGAAGTATTTAATGTGAAACAGGATGTATGTGTGTTTCAGTTTCGCTGTCTAATAAGTGCGACCTGTGACCTCCCGGTGACCCTGAAGATGTGGGATGTGTATTTCCAGCATGCCGACCCGTTCCTGGTGTTCTTCCTGGCACTGGTCATACTGGTGAACGCCAGGTATGTTCACACGAGGAACAAACTGGGCATTCCAAAAGCATGACTTATTCATATATTTACAGGTTTTTGTCTCCAAGTTCATAAAGATTGGTCTGGTTGCCATTGTAAATTATGGATTTATTTAATTACAACTGATGTCCAGCTACAAATCTTTATCCTTTATCTGTACAGTGTCAGTATGGACCTTGGCTGTATAGAAACAGTAGGGTCGGGTAGCCTAGTGGTTTAAGCGTTCGCTCTTCATGCCGAAGACCCGGGTTCGATTCCCAACATGGGTACAATCTGTGAAGTCCATTTCTGGTGTCCCCTGCCGTGATATTGCTGGAATACTGCTAAAAGTGGCGTAAAACCATACTCATTAACTCACTCACTCACTCACTCACTCACTCACTCACTCACTCTAGAAACAGTGTGAGTTAAACATATATATATATAGCCAGGTTTTACAGGAAACAGTGTAAGCTCAATAAAAATATATATTGAAATAATTTGATTTTGTACATCTACCCAATCGGAAAAAGTTTGTATTTCCTGGAACACCTTATTGGCACCACCATGTGTAACATTGTGTTACATTGTGTTACACAGTCTTGTAACATGTGTAACATTGTGTTTCAGTCACTGTTTCAGTCATGTAATATTTGGCCTGTTGACTTCATATGACTTTCAAGATTTTTTTTACATTTTGTCTCTTTCACTTGCAGGGAGATTATTCTGTCTTCTGACGAGGAATCAAAACAAATTATCGCAGGTATGTACCGGCTAATGTAGGAATGGAGGCTCAGAGTATGATGACTTGTTGCACTTCTTTACTTTTGCGACTGCCTCCATGGTCTAGTGGTAGAGCGTCCACCCAGAGAGCGGAAGGTCAGGTTTCGATCCAAGGCCGCATCCTACCAAAAAGATGGTACTTCTTGTTACCCTGTTTGGCGCTCGGCATTAAGGGGCTTAAACAAGGACTGGTCGGCTCAGAGTCAGTATACTGTGTCTGGGTGGGGTATTCATGTTAAACTGCAGCATGGTATCTCATGCAATATAAATTGGCATCAGTCCGGACTAGTACAAGCAGCACATATCCATGCATGTCGCTATATGAGTGCAATAATCTTGAACGCGACATTTAACCTCACCTCACCTCACCTCACCTCACCTCACAACAACGTTTCACCTCACCTCACCTCACAACCCCGTTTCACCTCACCTCACCTCACCTCATCTCACCTAACCTCACCACACCTCACCACACCTCACCTCTTTACTTTTGTCAGGCATGTTGAGAACAGACTGTTTGTGATTGAGATGATTTCCGCTTGATGACAAATGATTTAAGACTCACATGGGATGCAGATACAGAATCTACATATAAAAAGGGTCAACAGAGATTGTATTCCTTCGTCGTTTAAGACATTTTCAAACTAATGTTTTATTAAACATTTATTTTAAGTATTCTGACTTTAACTTCACTAGCTGGTTTGGAAACCTGTCTGTTCGCAGCAAAAACCAAACTGTTCAATATCTGAAACACAGCAATAACAGATAGAAACTAAACATTTAAGTCCTCTAGTACTTATAATGATAACATATAGCAAAACTCTAGAAAAGTGCAAATATCTACTAGTCCTCATGATACCTTAAGGACTATAGGACTAGTGCCACCTTCTGATGCTGGAATAATATCATTGGCATCTCCCTCCAGAACATTGGCAGTATTTATCAATGTTCCCGTTTACCGGTAATTACCAGTTTTTACCGGTAAAATTAGGCTTGGACCGGTAATTCTTGTGACTGCCAGTCCCTGTGGACAGGCAAATAAAGTACCTTAAAAATCTTTGTTGTTGAACAAAACATCGACCATAGTCAATAAATAATATTTTTCGACTAAAGTCAGCTTGTCTGTTGTCATCAGGGTTTCCAGTTGTCTATTATTAGTGTATTATATGAAGGAAATAATATTTCACTATGTTCCAAGGTTAAATATCTATTTGTAGTGACAGCCTTGAACCAAAGTGAAATACCGATATTCAGGAAAAAAGAGATAATTGTGATTGAACTTCGTATGAATGATGTCCAGAACTTAAATAAGTTAATTCAGAAATGATGGCAATAAATTTGTCTGCAATTTTCATGCAATTTTTATTTGTTCAAAGTTGGGACTGACAAAAATTGGGTGGGACTGGCAGTTTCCATAGCCAGCGGGAACACTGTTTACCAACAACAAATAGAGACTTGTCGTTTCCAGAGAAGATCGTGTCCTGTAAGAGAAAATATTGACAGTAGCGGGTGAACACTACCAAGCTGACTGTCATTCATTTCCTGAAGACCTGACCGCCTCCGTGGTCTTGTGGTAGAGCGTCCGCCCGGAGAGCGGAAGGTCCAGGGTTCGATCCCGGGCCGCGTCATACAAAAAGACGTTAAAAGATTGTACTTGTTGTTACCCTGTCTGGCGCTCGGCATTAAGGGGCTAAAACAAGGACTGGTCGGCTCGGAGTCAGTATACTGTGTCTGAGTGGGGTATTCATGTTAAACTGCGGCATGGTATCTCAGTGAGCTAGCACTATAAATCGGCATCAGTCCGGACTAGTACAAGCAGCCACACACACACATACACGTGCATGCACGTCGCTATATAAGTGCAATAATCTTGGACGCGACGTTAAACTCAATTTCACCTCACCTCCTGATGAACGTCAGTATGTCACGTGATTACGTTGTCAATCGCGCGGAGACATACAGAACTACGTTCGGGGAATTCCTCAATGTCCCAAAATAACATAATAAATAATTAGGCAAAACTGAGAGCGACATCAATTTAGGCTATGAATGATGCAGGCTTTGAAGTCAGACAGATCTTGTAAATGTTGGGTCACCGAAATGAAGGGTCCATTCGAAGCTATAACAGAGAATGTCGACTTACCAAAAGAAATCACTGAGCTCCACACTATCGTGCCTCGGGAAATCCAACCGCGCCGCCTCAAGCGGTTATCCCCATCAGCAGCCGTAGTATGACTCAAACACACACCCAAAGTTCACAGAACGTTAATAGCAATCCATTTTCAGCATGAGCCGGGTCTGGAAATCTTTCCAATTTCAATGGGGGCGGTCGGGTAGCCTTGTGGTTAAAGCGTTAGCTCGTCACGCCGAAGACCCGGGTTCGATTCCCGACATGGGTACAATGTGTGATGCCCATTTCTGGTGTCCCCCGCCGTGATATTGCTGGAATATTGCTAAAAGCGGCGTAAAACCATACTCACTCACTCCAATTCCAATGCTACTTTACTGGGTGCAACTTGTATTTCAAGCAAATGACATTGCGGTAGCCGCCATTTTCTGCCGTTTGTAAAATCAAGGGATGTCACTCCATGTGGAATGTTTGGGACGGATGACGTCACGACGTCACGACTCTCCGCGTTGATATAGTTCCCTTTCAATAATTAAAGTTTGATGTTAAATGGATTGTTTATTATGATTTATGTATCTGTCAATCTAAGGATTGAAGTTGTATTTGTTGACGTTCATCAGCTGATGAAGACAGTGGCTCATGTGAGCAAATTTACCATGAAGCTCTTCACACATCGTGGAATTTGCTCACGTGAGTCACTGTCTTCATCAGCTGATGAACGTCAACAAATACAACTTCAATCCTTAAATGTTTAGGTCATGATATGTGAAGCAAGGTTGAAATGTTTAGAGACTTGTCATTTCCAGAGAAGATCGTTTCCTGTAAGAGAAGATGTTTAGGTCATGAAATGTGAAGCAAGTTTGAAATGTTTAGAGACTTGTCATTTCCAGAGAAGATTGTGTCCTTCCCATCAGGCCTTGAGGCAGAGGACATTGAGGACTTCTGCTCCCTGGCACAGTACTACGAGACAAAAACACCGCAGTCTTTCAGGAGGGTGAGTTCAGAGAACACTACAATACTTGGTGAAAATCTGATGATTAACTTATTGTGTCACAATGCAAATGTTGTGACTGAATTTTGTTTTGAATTTTGTAAGATGACCAACTAGATTGTAATGAATGCATGCTTTAACAACTCTCCCGAGGCAAGAGAGTTAACTGACTTTAAAGTCCAGTTTCCACCCTTGCCGAATTAGGCTGGTATTATGGAAATACATTTTGACTGGGCTTACGAGTCTATGCATAGTCCAATCAAGTTCGTGCAACGAAATAGAAATCTGGTTCGTAAACTGTCGTGCTGATTTCGGTCAATTGCCAGATTTGTAAAGCATGTGCACCTCCAACTTATGTCAGCAGATATTTTCCAAATGTTTTCATGTTTTTAATCAAGGTGCTCACGTGATTTGATGGGCATCGCGATGTAAGACACGTTTTATCACAATATCGATCTTGATTAGCGATCAGATCGCTTGACTTGATGCCGCCATTTTGTTTGAATCAAATGCAAGTGATACGAGAAGTGGACTCTGAATGCTCCAAAGTAGAGGTTTAGAAGGGACATAACTGGTAATAACCACTGGTGGCGCTATGATCAAGCCCAGGAATTCCAGCCTAGTTCGGCAAGGGTGGAAACTGAACTTTTAACAATGACTTTGAAATTATATGAACATGTTGCTTTCTGCAGAACTGCTTCAATGAGTTCAGTTCATGTGGTGTTTAGGACGGCTCCTCCAAGTTGGTATTAGATCCATGGAGAATACAATCGGCTCCACATGACATTTACCGTATTCGATGTAATAACTGCCCTGCTCTAATAAGCGCCCATGGAGATATTTGCCAATATAATACAATCCCAATTAGGACCTCTTCCGATTGATCAATATACACTTGTAAGACTTATATATTCGTGAATAATACGCACCTGTGTGTTGTATGCACCCTTAATTATGGGTAATTAAATTCTGGAAAAATATATCTGTCGTGTATAATACACCCACTTTTCTTTTGTATCATTTCAGGCTGTCAGCATAAACCACGAAATTTACGATATTTCAACTCTAATTCTAATTTTGAGAGCTCCCTGGGCATTTACTAAGTCAAATTCGGTAGATCATGTTTGCAGTTCATGAGTAGGAACTGGATAATTCCAAATGTGATGATTCATCAGTATTGACAGCTGCTGTGGTGTCGATGTTGCAGGACTACCAGATGCCGCTGTTTGGGACGTCCCTGGCGCCAGTGCAGGAGGGGGTTGGGGAGCAGGTGGGGCAGGCGCTGTGTCTCCCCGTGTCCGTCATGGAACTCCTGCAGGCTAGCGAACTGGCAGCGGTGAGTCTATGTAGTAGTGTCATTACCCCCTTGAAGATCTGTCTGGGGCAGGCGCTGTGTCTCCTCGTGTCCGTCATGGAACTCCTGCAGGCTAGCGAACTGGCAGCGGTGAGTCTATGTAGTAGTGTCATTACCCCCTTGAAGATCAGGTGGGGCAGGCGCTGTGTCTCCCTGTGTCCGTCATGGAACTCCTGCAGGCTAGCGAACTGGCAGCGGTGAGTCTATGTAGTAGTGTCATTACCCCCTTGAAGATCAGGTGGGGCAGGCGCTGTGTCTCCCTGTGTCCGTCATGGAACTCCTGCAGGCTAGCGAACTGGCAGCGGTGAGTCTATGTAGTAGTGTCATTACCCCCTTGAAGATCAGGTGGGGCAGGCGCTGTGTCTCCCTGTGTCCATCATGGAACTCCTGCAGGCTAGCGAACTGGCAGCGGTGAGTCTATGTAGTAGTGTCATTACCCCCTTGAAGATCAGGTGGGGCAGGCGCTGTGTCTCCCTGTGTCCGTCATGGAACTCCTGCAGGCTAGCGAACTGGCAGCGGTGAGTCTATGTAGTAGTGTCATTACCCCCTTGAAGATCAGGTGGGGCAGGCGCTGTGTCTCCCTGTGTCCGTCATGGAACTCCTGCAGGCTAGCGAACTGGCAGCGGTGAGTCTATGTAGTAGTGTCATTACCCCCTTGAAGATCAGGTGGGGCAGGCGCTGTGTCTCCCTGTGTCCGTCATGGAACTCCTGCAGGCTAGCGAACTGGCAGCGGTGAGTCTATGTAGTAGTGTCATTACCCCCTTGAAGATCAGGTGGGGCAGGCGCTGTGTCTCCCTGTGTCCGTCATGGAACTCCTGCAGGCTAGCGAACTGGCAGCGGTGAGTCTATGTAGTAGTGTCATTACCCCCTTGAAGATCAGGTGGGGCAGGCGCTGTGTCTCCCTGTGTCCGTCATGGAACTCCTGCAGGCTAGCGAACTGGCAGCGGTGAGTCTATGTAGTAGTGTCATTACCCCCTTGAAGATCAGGTGGGGCAGGCGCTGTGTCTCCCTGTGTCCGTCATGGAACTCCTGCAGGCTAGCGAACTGGCAGCGGTGAGTCTATGTAGTAGTGTCATTACCCCCTTGAAGATCAGGTGGGGCAGGCGCTGTGTCTCCCTGTGTCCGTCATGGAACTCCTGCAGGCTAGCGAACTGGCAGCGGTGAGTCTATGTAGTAGTGTCATTACCCCCTTGAAGATCAGGTGGGGCAGGCGCTGTGTCTCCCTGTGTCCGTCATGGAACTCCTGCAGGCTAGCGAACTGGCAGCGGTGAGTCTATGTAGTAGTGTCATTACCCACTTGAAGATCTGTCTGGGGCGGTCGGGTAGCCTAGTGGTTAAAGCGTTGCTCGTCAAGCCGAAGATCTGGGTTCGATTCCCGACATGGGTACAATGTGTGAAGCCCATTTCTGGTGTCCCCTGACGTGATATTGCTGGAATATTGCTAAAAGCGGCGTAAACCCATACCCAATACCCACTGAAGATCTGTCTTCAAGAAGGCCTTCAGCAACGGCCCCATGTATCTTATGTAGTGTGCGCGCAGCGTACGCACATTGCCAGCAATCTCTCACTGGCCACAATTGTTTTCGTAGAATTACAGACCCATGGAGATAATGGGTAGATTAGGTCTTCAGCACCCCATGCTTGCCAAAAAAGATGACTATACTTGTCGTAAGAGGCGACCAATGGGATCGGGTGGTCAGACTCGCTGACTTGGTTGATGCATGTCATCGTATCCCAATTGTGAAGATCAATGCTCATAATGTAAATCACTGGATTGTCTAGTCCAGACTTGATTATTCACAGACCTGCATCATTTAGTTTGAATATTGCTGAGTGCAGCGTTAAACAACAAATAATCCGTGTCATTACATGTTGCTGTTTTGTCCAAGGTGACATGCTGAGTTTTGTTGTTATGGTAATGAGTTGATATGTGTTACCAAGGTGACAAGATTATGCATATTGTCATTTCGATGTATTGCCAATGGCAATTAGCCATAGTAACGTGTTGCAGTTTGTTGACAAGAATATGCATGTCATGATGTTGTCATGGTAACATGCTGCTGTGTTACAGGAGGATGGAGTGCGATACTTCATCGTCGACTGCCGGCCAGCGGACCAGTACAACAGCGGACACCTACCCACAGCCTTCCACCTCGATGCTAACTTGGTGTGTTGCAAATGCTTACTTCACTGTTCATCTATCTGCCTTATGGGGACCTCAGAGCAGAATAGGCCCCCAGTACCTCATGTTTGTTGTCATGGTGATCTCAGAGCAGAATAGGCCCCCAGTACCTCATGTTTGTTGTCATGGTGATCTCAGAGCAGAATAGGCCCCCAGTACCTCATGTTTGTTGTCATGGTGATCTCAGAGCAGAATAGGCCCCCAGTACCTCATGTTTGTTGTCATGGTGATCTCAGAGCAGAATAGGCCCCCAGTACCTCATGTTTGTTGTCATGGTGATCTCAGAGCAGAATAGGCCCCCAGTACCTCATGTTTGTTGTCATGGTGATCTCAGAGCAGAATAGGCCCCCAGTACCTCATGTTTGTTGTCATGGTGATCTCAGAGCAGAATAGGCCCCCAGTATCTTATGTTTGTTGTCATGGTGATCTCAGAGCAGAATAGGCCCCCAGTACCTCATGTTTGTTGTCATGGTGATCTCAGAGCAGAATAGGCCCCCAGTATCTTATGTTTGTTGTCATGGGGATCCCAGGGCAGAATAGGCCCCCAGTACCTCATGTTTGTTGTCATGGTGATCTCAGAGCAGAATGAGTCCCCAGTACCTCGTTTGTTGTCTTGGTGATCCCAGAGCAGAATAGGCCCCCAGTACCTCATGTTTGTTGTCATGGTGATCTCAGAGCAGAATAGGCCCCCAGTACCTCATGTTTGTTGTCATGGTGGTCTCAGAGCAGAATAGGCCCCCAGTACCTCATGTTTGTTGTCATGGTGATCTCAGAGCAGAATAGGCCCCCGTACCTCATGTTTGTTGTCATGGGGATCTCAGAGCAGAATAGGCACTCAGTATCTTATGTTTGTTGTCATGGTGATCTCAGAGCAGAATAGGCCCCCAGTACCTCATGTTTGTTGTCATGGTGGTCTCAGAGCAGAATAGGCCCCCAGTACCTCATGTTTGTTGTCATGGTGATCTCAGAGCAGAATAGGCCCCCAGTACCTCATGTTTGTTGTCATGGTGATCTCAGAGCAGAATAGGCCCCCGTACCTCATGTTTGTTGTCATGGTGATCTCAGAGCAGAATAGGCCCTCAGTATCTTATGTTTGTTGTCATGGTGATCTCAGAGCAGAATAGGCCCCCAGTACCTCATGTTTATTGTTGTGGGGATCCCAGAGCAGAATAGGCCCCCAGTACCTCATGTTTGTTGTCATGGTGATCCCAGACCAGAATAGGCCCCCAGTATCTTATGTTTGTTGTCATGGGGATCTCAGGGCAGAATAGGCGACCAGTACCTCAAGTTTGTTGTCATGGGGATCTCAGAGCAGAATAGGCCCCCAGTACTTCATGTTTTTTTTGTTGGGATCCCAGAGCAGAATAGGCCCCCAGTACCTCATGTTTGTTGTCATGGGGATCCCAGAGCAGAATAGGCCCCCAGTACCTCATGTTTGTTGTCATGGGGATCTCAGAGCAGAATAGGCCCCCAGTACCTCATGTTTGTTGTCATGGGGATCCCAGAGCAGAATAGGCCCCCAGTACCTCATGTTTGTTGTCATGGTGATCTCAGAGCAGAATAGGCCCCCAGTACCTCATGTTTGTTGTCATGGGGATCTCAGAGCAGAATAGGCCCCCAGTACCTCCTGTTTGTTGTCATGGTGATCTCAGAGCAGAATAGGCCCCCAGTACCTCATGTTTGTTGTTGTGGGGATCCCAGGGCAGAATAGGCCCCCAGTATCTTATGTTTGTTGTCATGGTGATCTCAGAGCAGAATAGGCCTCCAGTACCTCATGTTTGTTGTCATGGTGATCTCAGAGCAGAATAGGCCCCCAGTACCTCATGTTTGTTGTCATGGTGATCTCAGAGCAGAATAGGCCTCCAGTACCTCATGTTTGTTGTCATGGGGATCCCAGGGCAGAATAGGCCCCCAGTATCTTATGTTTGTTGTCATGGGGATCCCAGGGCAGAATAGGCCCCCAGTACCTCATGTTTGTTGTCATGGGGATCCCAGAGCAGAATAGGCCCCCAGTACCTCATGTTTGTTGTCATGGGGATCTCAGAGCAGAATAGGCCCCCAGTACTTCATGTTTGTTGTCATGGGGATCTCAGATAAGAATAGGCCCCCAGTACCTCATGTTTGTTGTTGTGGGGATCTCAGAGCAGAATAGGCCCCCAGTACCTCATGTTTGTTGTCATGGTGATCCCAGAGCAGAATAGGCCCCCAGTACCTCATGTTTGTTGTCATGGGGATCTCAGAGCAGAATAGGCCCCCAGTACTTCATGTTTGTTGTCATGGGGATCTCAGATAAGAATAGGCCCCCAGTACCTCATGTTTGTTGTTGTGGGGATCTCAGAGCAGAATAGGCCCCCAGTACCTCCTGTTTGTTGTCATGGTGATCTCAGAGCAGAATAGGCCCCCAGTACCTCATGTTTGTTGTCATGGTGATCTCAGAGCAGAATAGGCCCCCAGTACCTCATGTTTGTTGTCATGGTGATCTCAGAGCAGAATAGGCCCCCAGTACTTCATGTTTGTTGTCATGGGGATCTCAGATAAGAATAGGCCCCCAGTACCTCATGTTTGTTGTTGTGGGGATCTCAGAGCAGAATAGGCCCCCAGTACTTCATGTTTGTTGTCATGGGGATCTCAGATAAGAATAGGCCCCCAGTACCTCATGTTTGTTGTCATGGGGATCTCAGGGCAGAAAAGGCCCCCAGTATCTTATGTTTGTTGTCATGGGGATCCCAGGGCAGAATAGGCCCCCAGTACCTCATGTTTGTTGTCATGGGGATCTCAGAGCAGAATAGGCCCCCAGTACTTTATGTTTGTTGTCATGGTGATCTCAGAGCAGAATAGGCCCCTAGTACCTCCTGTTTGTTGTCATGGGGATCCCAGAGAGGAATAGGCCCCCAGTATCTTATTTTTGTTGTCATGGGGATCTCAGAGCAGAATAGGCCCCCAGTTTCTCATGTTTTGGTTGTCATGGTGATCTCAGAGCAGAATAGGCCCCCAGTTCCTCATGTTTGTTTTTGTGGGGATTGCCTGGCCCAGTATTTAGGCAACATTTACTCACGCACTCCTTTAAAAACACATTGATTCAGTGCTTCTGTCTTGACATGAGTGTTCTGCATGAAGTGTTCTGTGTTTATAGATGTTGCAGAACCCAGTGGAGTTCAGCACGGCTGTTCATGCGCTGTTTGCCACACGGAGCTCTGCACTCGCCACAGGTAATCTGCTACTGACAGGATTCATGATGTATGCACTGACCCCTGTGGGGAATCAGGGTTAGATCCCTGCTGGGGATTCAGGGTTAGACCCCTGTGGGAATTCAGGGTTAGACCCCCGTGGGGATTCAGGATTAGCTCCCCATGGGGATTGAGGGTTAGATATCTTTAGGACTCAGGGTGAGACCCCCATGGGGATTCAGGGTGAGACCCCTGTGGGGATTCTGGGTTAGATCTCTGTGGGGATTCAGGGTAAGACCCCCGTTGGGATTCAAGGTTAGACTCCCATGGAGTTTCAGGATTAGATCCCCATGGGTATTCAGGGTTAGATTTCTGTGGGGATTCAGGGTTAGACCCCCATTGGGATTCAGGGTAAGACCCCTGTGGGGATTCAGGGTTAGACCCTAATTGGGTTTCAGGATTAGATCCCAATGGGGATTCAGGGTTAGATCTCCGTGGGGATTCAGGGTTAGACCCCTGTGGGGATTCAGGGTTAAATCTCCGTTGGGATTCAGGGTTAGACCCCAATTGCGTTTCAGGATTAGATCCCCATGGGGATTCAGGGTTAGATCTCTGTGTGGATTCAGAGTAAGACCCCCGTTGGGATTCAAGGTTAGGCCCCCATGGGGTTTCAAGATTAGATTCCCATGAGGATTGAGGGTTAGATATCTTTAGGATTCAGGGTGAGACCCCCATGGGGATTCAGGGTGAGACCCCCATGGGGATTCAGGATTAGATCCCTAACACAGGGGAACACCCGTATTTCCTGGGCAGCGGGCGGGGGGAGGTGTTGTTGTATTCTATAATTAGTTTATGTCCCCCAGGTTCAGTGGCAGCAGGGGAACACCTGTGTTTCCTGGGCAGCGGGCGGGGGGAGGTGTTGTTGTATTCTATAATTAGTTTATGTCCCCCAGGTTCAGTGGCAGCAGGGGAACACCTGTGTTTCCTGGGCAGCGGGCGGGGGGAGGTGTTGTATTCTATAATTAGTTTATGTCCCCCAGGTTCAGTGGCAGCAGGGGAACACCTGTGTTTCCTGGGCAGCGGGCGGGGGGAGGAGGTGTAGTATTCTATAATTAGTTTATGTCCCCCAGGTTCAGTGGCAGCAGGGGAACACCTGTGTTTCCTGGGCAGCGGGCGGGGGGAGGAGGTGTAGTATTCTATAATTAGTTTATGTCCCCCAGGTTCAGTGGCAGCAGGTGAACACCTGTGTTTCCTGGGCAGCGGGCGGGGGGAGGAGGTGTAGTATTCTATAATTACTTTGTGTCCCCCAGGTTCAGTGGCAGCAGGGGAACACCTGTGTTTCCTGGGCAGCGGGCGGGAGGAGGAGGACCAGTTTGTCAACATGGTGGTGGCCAACTTCCTGCAGAAGAGTCAGCAGTACATCAGCATGGCAAGGGGAGGCTATGCTGGTAGGTAGCCACTCAGTTATCTCCCTTTCCACACCGTTGAAAACAGAGAGATGTATGTCTGCATTATTCATAACAATGGCATTCATAATGATAACTTCTTTCCATAAGTAGGCCCTGTGCTTGGCGTTAGAGGCCACATGATGGCTTGGGTGGTCAGGCTTGGTGGCACGTGGTCCTGTGCACAGCGCACAGATCACAATTCAGGTGAAGTTAAGCAACGTCGGTCTCGGAGAGTAGTTGGATGGGTGACCACGTTCAGCAGCTTGACTCCTGAGAGTTTCTAGGGCTTCGGTCCTGCCCCACACTGAAGCACATGTACCACATGTGGTGTCTCCTTAGGCAAGTGACTTTGTTCGAAATGTGCCTCTGTTCACCCAGCAGTGAGTGGGTACCCAGTAGGATGAGATGTAATGTGTCTGTTAACCTTCTAGCGCCTCACAGGCAGCTTGGGTTGTATACTCCCCAGGGAGCTGAGATTGAAAATCGTGTGCTCACTGATCCATTGAACAGGGTAATAATAGTGTAGCGCTATGAGCATCCACTTGGTGAATGGAATCTGGCGCATTATAAATGCAATTCTGGGGATGCAAGCACCTCTGTCAACTCAACACAATTCATTCTGGCCAAAAATATCCCAATATTGCAAATACTGTATGCATGGATAAATTTGACTTTTCAACATGAATGATTTTTAGTCCTCTATAGCTTTATCAATCGTCGCTATGGTGACTGTTGCTATGGTTACAGCCCTGCACCAACTGCTGCGGGATAACCTTGGGGAGGGACTTGTCAATCACAACAGTCGGACCTGCATCGCATGTTCCCCCGGCACTCCAAGCAGCGCCAGTGACGCGGAAAACAGCGACGACTTCGCCAACAGTAAAACAGTACGTTACACACGTCGGTCACATGGGGGTGGAGGTGTAGTGTTGAGGTAGTGGAGCATTGGAGCGTGCAGCAAAACATAACTTTGCCTCGGTTAGAAGCAAGAACAGTTAAAACTCCACAGAGTAAAGATAAACAAGTCTGTTTGTTTCAACAGGGCCCATTTCTCAAGTGATCATGGGGTGGTCAGGTAGCCTAGTGGTTAAAACGTTCGCTCATCACGCCGAAGACCCGGGTTTGATTCCCGAAATAGGTACAATGTGTGAAGCCCATTTCTGGTGTCCCCGCCGTGATATTGCTGGAATATTGCTAAAAGCGGTGTAAAACCATACTCACTCACTCACTCACTCACATAGACTTCCATGATACAGACCTCAGTGAGTACATGCTGGGAAGGTAGATGGTCTCCGTAAATGGCTGGATTATTATACTCACTCACTCACTCACTCACTCACTCACTCACTCACTCACTCACTCACTCAAGTGATCATAGTGTGCTATCGCTGTAAGTCTATTGTAAACTGTGAGTGAGTGAGTGAGTATGTGTTTACGCCGCTTTTAGCAATATTCCAGCAATATCACACATTGTACCCATGTTGGGAATCGAACCCGGGTCTTCAGCATGTCGGGCGAACGCTTTAACCACTAGGCTGGCTACCTGACTGCCCCCGATCGTGATGTGAAAAGATCCTTTTTCCACAACTGCTACAACTGTCGTATTTCCCATAAAGTAAAGATAAATTATGGATAACAACTTCTTTATTCACAGCAGCCCAACATTTTGGTATAGATCCTTATGCTGTTGTCAAGCAAGGCTTGCTTAACAACTGCTTATTCTGTAAATAAAAAAGTTGTTATCCATAAATTATCTCTACTTTGTCTTCCCTCAATTTCTGTCTCCCCTGTTACAGCTGACCCGGGACCTGTTTGGGAAGCTGTCGACAGTGGTCAAGAGCAAGTCAGTGGAGATGAAGGAGAAACTGGCCAACTACATCAAAAACGACCAGACCCCAATAGAGAGGTAGGAGTAACTCTGTAGATGACCAGACCCCAATAGAGATGTAGGGATAACCCTGTAGATGACCAGACCCCGATAGAGAGGTAGGAGTAACTCTGTAGATGACCAGACCCCAATAGAGAGGTAGGGATAACTCTGTAGATGACCAGACCCCGATAGAGAGGTAGGAGTAACTCTGTAGATGACCAGACCCCGATAGAGAGGTAGGGATAACTCTGTAGATGACCAGACCCCAATAGACAGGTAGGAGTAACTCTGTAGATGACCAGACCCCAATAGAGAGGTAGGAGTAACTCTGTAGATGACCAGACCCCAATAGACAGGTAGGAGTAACTCTGTAGATGACCAGACCCCAATAGACAGGTAGGAGTAACTCTGTAGATGACCAGACCCCAATAGAGAGGTAGGGATAACTCTGTAGATGACCAGACCCCAATAGAGAGGTAGGGATAACTCTGTAGATGACCAGACCCCAATAGAGAGGTAGGGATAACTCTGTAGATGACCAGACCCCGATAGAGAGGTAGGGATAACTCTGTAGATGACCAGACCCCGATAGAGAGGTAGGGATAACTCTGTAGATGACCAGACCCCAATAGAGAGGTAGGGATAACCCTGTAGATGACCAGACCCTGATAGAGAGGTAGGGATAACCCTGTAGATGACCAGACCCCGATAGAGAGGTAGGGATAACCCTGTAGATGACCAGACCCCAATAGAGAGGTAGGGATAACCCTGTAGATGACCAGACCCTGATAGAGAGGTAGGAGTAACTCTGTAGATGACCAGACTCCAATAGAGAGGTAGGGATAACTCTGTAGATGACCAGACTCCAATAGAGAGGTAGGAGTAACTCTGTAGATGACCAGACCCCAATAGAGAGGTAGGGATAACTCTGTAGATGACCAGACCCCGATAGAGAGATAGGGATAACTCTGTAGATGACCAGACCCCAATAGAGAGGTAGGGATAACCCTGTAGATGACCAGACCCCAATAGAGAGGTAGGAGTAACTCTGTAGATGACCAGACTCCAATAGAGAGGTAGGGATAACTCTGTAGATGACCAGACCCCGATAGAGAGGTAGGGATAACTCTGTAGATGACCAGACCCCGATAGAGAGGTAGGGATAACCCTGTAGATGACCAGACCCCGATAGAGAGGTAGGGATAACTCTGTAGATGACCAGACTCCGATAGAGAGGTAGGGATAACTCTGTAGATGACCAGACCCCAATAGAGAGGTAGGAGTAACTCTGTAGATGACCAGACCCCAATAGAGAGGTAGGGATAACCCTGTAGATGACCAGACTCCAATAGAGATGTAGGGATAACTCTGTAGATGACCAGACCCCGATAGAGAGGTAGGAGTAACTCGGTAGATGACCAGACTCCAATAGAGAGGTAGGGATAACTCTGTAGATGACCAGACTCCAATAGAGAGGTAGGGATAACCCTGTAGATGACCAGACCCCAATAGAGAGGTAGGGATAACTCTGTAGATGACCAGACTCCAATAGAGAGGTAGGGATAACCCTGTAGATGACCAGACTCCAATAGAGAGGTAGGAGTAACCCTGTAGATGACCAGACTCCAATAGAGAGGTAGGGATAACCCTGTAGATGACCAGACCCCAATAGAGAGGTAGGGATAACCCTGTAGATGACCAGACTCCAATAGAGATGTAGGGATAACTCTGTAGATGACCAGACCCCGATAGAGAGGTAGGAGTAACTCTGTAGATGACCAGACTCCAATAGAGAGGTAGGGATAACTCTAGATATGGTAAATCTGGTTGCAATGAAATTAGTTTGAGAGACAGCCACAAAGCACCAGGTTAGCAAGAGCTGAGATTGTATCCTGCTACTTACCAGGTCGTTATTCAGCCTTGGGACCAACAATGTTTACAGGTCTTTACGGTGTTGTCACTACCCCCAGTGCACAGTACGTTCACCCTGTGCTCTCAAAAGAACCCACTCGTCCAATGGTGGATGACCAGAGGGTGGAAATACGAACACGTACATTCCCCCGAAACACAAGAATCAAAACTTGTGGTGTCACCTTGGGCAAGTGCCTTAGTTCAAATTTACCTCTGTTCACCCAGCAGGGAATGGGTGCCCGATGCCTATAGGCATCTTGGTTGTGTACTCCCCAAGTTGAATATGATAACTGGAATCCAAACAGATCCACTGGTCGGGGGACAGATGAAACCGCATTTGAGAAGATACTAGTACCTGGATCCCTGCGGTAGATTATGTATGTAATAATAATTGAATTATGATCTTCCTGCTTATTTCCACGTTTATATTTTTCATTGCTGGTACAGGCATGTGAGCAACACAGACAGGCTGGGCAAGCGATACAGGAACATGGCCAACGTCTTCACGATCGGGGATGATGATGAAGGTAGGAGGCAGGAGCTGTGAAATCGGGGATGGGGGGAAACAGGTGTGTTAAACTGGGGTGGGGGTGAAATTGGGGTGGGGGAAACTGGGGAGGGGGGAAACAGGTGTGGGAAACTGAGGTTGGGGTGAAATCGGGGGTGGGGGAAACTTGGGAGGGGGGAAACAGGTGTGGGAAACTGAGGTGGGGGTGAAATCAGGGTTGGGGGTTGGGGAGAGTGTGATCACAGTGTGGGGCGGTTGGAATCTTTGGCTGAGGAGGGTAAACTCAAGGGTTGGGAGTTTGGAAGCTGGGGCTGGGGAGGGTAAATTCAAGGGTGGGGAGTTTGGAAGCTGGGGTTAGGGGGGGTTTATTCAAGGGTGGGGAGTTTGGAAGCCAGGGTTGGGTAGGGTTAATTCAAGGGTGGGGAGTTTGGAAGCTGGGGTTAGGGGGGGTTAATTCAAGGGTGGGGAGTTTGGAAGCTGGGGTTGGGGAGGTTTAAGTCAAGGGTGGGGAGTTTGGAAGCCGGGGTTGGGGAGGGTTAATTCAAGGGTGGGGAGTTTGGAAGCCGGGGTTGGGGAGGGTTAAATCAAGGGTTGGGAGTTTGGAAGCCAGGGTTGGGGAGGGTAAATTTAAGGGTGGAGAGTTTGGGAGCTGGGGTTGGGGAGGGTAAATTCAAGGGTGGGGAGTTTGGAAGCTGGGGTTGGGGAGGGTTAATTCAAGGGTGGGGAGTTTGGAAGCTGGGTTCGGGAGGGTAAATTCAAGGGTGGGGAGTTTGGAAGCTGGGGTTGGGGAGGGTTAATTCAAGGGTGGGGAGTTTGGAAGCTGGGGTTGGGGAGGGTAAATTCAAGGGTGGGGAGTTTGGAAGCTGGGGTTGGGGAGGGTAAATTCAAGGGTGGGGAGTTTGGAAGCTGGGGTTGGGGAGGGTTAATTCAAGGGTGGGGAGTTTGGAAGCTGGGGCTCTGTTGTTGTTCAGCTGGGTTTTAGTGTCATTTTGCTGTTGTTCCACTGATTTCTACTGTACTGAGCTTTACTCTTGTTCTACATAGGTCTACTCTTTTTCTACACAGTTTTACTCTTGTTCTACATAGTTCTATCATTGTTCTACAGTTCTACTATTGTTCTACAGAGTTTTACTCTTGTTCTACATAGTTCTATCATTGTTCTACAGTTCTACTCTTGTTCTACATAGTTCTATCATTGTTCTACAGTTTTACTCTTGTTCTACATAGTTCTATCGTTGTTCTACAGCGTTTTACTCTTGTTCTACATAGTTCTATCATTGTTCTACAGTTCTATCATTGTTCTACAGCTTTTTACTCTTGTTCTACATAGTTCTATCATTGTCCTACAAAGTTTTACTTTTGTACTACATAGTTCTATCATTGTTCTGCATAGTTCTATCATTGTTCTACAGAGTTTTACTCTTGTTCTACATAGTTCTATTCTTGTTCTACAGAGTTTGAGTCTTGTTCTACATAGTTCTATCATTGTTCTACAGAGGTTTACTCTTGTTCTATATAGTTCTATTCTTGTTCTACTGAGTTTTACTCTTGTTCTTCTGAGTTCTAATCTTGTTCTTCTGAGTTCTACTCTTGTTCTACATAGTTCTACCCTGTTCTACTGAGTTCTACTCTTGTTCTACATAGTTCTACCCTCTTCTACTGAGTTGTTGCTGTTGCAGGAGAAGACAACATGATGCTGCCGGTGTCGGATGATGAGCCGAAGGAAGTGGTGAGCCTGGACACCTGGCTGCAGAAGCCTGACGTGGCCTACAGCTGTCAGTGCCAGGAGGTGCTGGGCAATGGCTACATGTTCCCCAGGTAACACATCAACAGTCGCATGTTGCCAGTACGGTAGATCCATGTATGCTGGCTGCAGAAGCCTGACGTGGCCTACAGCTGTCAGTGCCAGGAGGTGCTGGGCAATGGCTACATGTTCCCAAGGTAACACATCAACAGTCGCATGTTGCCAGTACGGTAGATCCATGTATGCTGGCTGCAGAAGCCTGACGTGGCCTACAGCTGTCAGTGCCAGGAGGTGCTGGGCAATGGCTACATGTTCCCCAGGTAACACATCAACAGTCGCATGTTGCCAGTACGGTAGATCCATGTATGCTGGCTGCAGAAGCCTGACGTGGCCTACAGCTGTCAGTGCCAGGAGGTGCTGGGCAATGGCTACATGTTCCCCAGGTAACACATCAACAGTCGCATGTTGCCAGTACGGTAGATCCATGTATGCTGGCTGCAGAAGCCTGACGTGGCCTACAGCTGTCAGTGCCAGGAGGTGCTGGGCAATGGCTACATGTTCCCCAGGTAACACATCAACAGTCGCATGTTGCCAGTACGGTAGATCCATGTATGACATCACTACGCTACATTTAGAGGCTGGCATGTTTTATTGTTACAATGTTGGTATGTGATATCTACAATGTTGGTTTGTGATAACCACAGTGTTGGTATGTGATATCTACAATGTTGGTTTGTGATAACCGCAGTGTTGGTATGTGATATCGACAATGTTGGTATGTGATATCTACAAAATTGGTATGTGATATCTACAATGTTGGTATGTGATATCTACAATGTTGGTATGTGAATGTTGATGTTCAGTGTCTGTATTCAATGTCACTACAATGTCCGTAATTTATGTTGCTACGATGTTGATATATGATGTCGGTATGTGATGTCACTACAATGTTGGTGTGTGATGTCACTACAATGTCCGTAATTTATGTTGCTACGATGTTGATATATGATGTCGGTATGTGATGTCACTACAATGTTGGTGTGTGATGTCACTACAATGTTGGTATGTGATGTCACTACAATGTTGGTGTTCGATGTTGATATATGATGTCGGTATGTGATGTCACTACAATGTTGGTGTGTGATGTCACTACAATGTCCGTAATTTATGTTGCTACGATGTTGATATATGATGTCGGTATGTGATGTCACTACAATGTTGGTATGTGATGTCACTACAATGTTGGTGTTCGATGTTGATATATGATGTCGGTATGTGATGTCACTACAATGTTGGTGTGTGATGTCACTACAATGTTGGTGTGCGATGTCACTACAATGTTGGTATGCGATGTTGATGTGCGCTGTCGGTATGTGATGTCCGTACAATGTTGGTGTGCGATGTCGATGTGTGGTGTGGGTATGTGATGTCACTACAATGTTGGTGTGCGATGTCACTACAATGTTGGTATGAGATGTTGATGTATTGTGTCTGTATGCGATGTCACTACAATGTTGGTATGCGATGTCGATGTATGGTGTCGGTATGTGATGTCACTACAATGTTGGTATGCGATGTCCCAACAATGTTGGTATGTGATGTCACTACAATGTTGGTATGCGATGTCAATGTATGGTGTCGGTATGTGATGTCAATGTATGGTGTCGGTATGTGATGTAACTACAATGTTGGCATGCGATGTCATCGAATGTTGGTATGCGATGTCACTACAATATTGGTATGCGATGTTGATGTATTGTGTCTATATGCGATGTCACTACAATGTTGGCATGCAATGTCACTACAATGTCAGTAAGTAAAGTAAATATCAGTAAGTTATGTTGCTACGATGTTGGTATCTGCCTAGCACTGCCCAGATTACATTCTAGGACAGTGTGTTACAAGTGTAACATTTCTCCTGTTGTTACAGCTACCTTCTGGTGACGGCATCCCACCTATATGTCCTCCGAGACATCCCCAAGAAGAAGGGCATGGCCTACATCCAAGCTCGCCGCGCCCTCGGCAGTGTCGTCAAAATAACATCCAAAAAGAAACATCCAGACTTCATCACATTCAAGTACGGCACAAGTGAGGACGAGGGCTTCCACATCACAGACATGGACAGGTTCATCATCAGCAAGGCCGGCGATGCCACCAGGATCATCAAGCAGCAGATCATGAAGGTGTTGGACGCACTCGACAGCTAGCGGGGACTCGACAGCTAGCGGGGGACTCGACAGCTAGCGGGGACTCGACAGCTAGCTAGGGGACTCGACAGCTAGCGGGGGGACTCGACAGCTAGCGGGGGGACTCGACAGCCAGCGGGGGGACTTGACAGCTAGCGGGGGGACTCGACAGCTAGCGGGGGGACTCGACAGCTAGCGGGGACTCGACAGCTAGCAGGGACTCGACAGCTAGCGGGGACTCGACAGCTAGCTGGGGGACTCGACAGCTAGCGGGGACTCGACAGCTAGCGGGGACTCGACAGCTAGCGGGGGGACTCAACAGCTACCTTGGGAACTCGACAGCTAGCGGGGGGACTCGACAGCTAGCGGGGGGACTCGACAGCTAGCGGGGGGACTCGACAGCTAGCTGGGGGACTCGACACCTAGCGGGGGACCTCGACAGCTAGCGGGGGACTCCCTTGCGCTGTGCTCAGGAAGGTGGAACCAACTCATTATGAACAAAACTGGTGACATTAGAAAATGACCAAGATTTATGCATGTTTGAAGTCTGTGTTCAGTGATCCGTGACGACTGCGTGTGGAGGAAGCAGTGTCGGCTGGTGACTTTAGGGAGGCAGAGGACCAGCTGAGGGAGACCATGGTTGTTCTTGTGTCAGATCCATGGAAAGTTAAAGAACTGATTTTCGGCTAATTTGCAGCGGGTATGCTGCAAGGTGTTCCCTGGAGTGATGATTGTCTTCGAGGGGGAGTTTGTGTTGACACTGACGGTGTAGTTGACATCGTTGTGAAGCCTGTCATGTCATGTTCACTGTGAGGAGTCATCAGTCTGATGACGTTGGTATATGTGTGATATCACTACAATGTCGGTATGTGATATCACAAAAATGTCAGTATGTGATATCACTACAATGTTGGTATGCGATATCACTACAATGTTGGTATGTGATGTCACTACAATGTTGGCATGTGATATGACTACAATGTTGGCATGGGATATCACTACAATGTTGGTATGTGATATCACTACAATGTTAGTATGTGATGTCACTACAATGTTGGTATGTGATGTCACTACAATGTCGGCATGTGATGTCACTACAATGTCAGCATGTGATATCACTACAATGTTGGTATGTGATGTCACTACAATGTTGGAATGTGATATGACTACAATGTTGGCATGGGATATCACTACAATGTCGGCATGTGATGTCACTACAATGTCGGCATGTGATGTCACTACAATGTTGGTATGGGATATCACTACAATGTCGGTATGTGATGTCACTACAATGTTGGTATGTGATGTCACTACAATGTTGGCATGGGATATCACTACAATGTCGGTATGTGATATCACAAAAATGTCAGTATGTGATATCACTACAATGTTGGTATGCGATATCACTACAATGTTGGTATGTGATGTCACTACAATGTTGGCATGTGATATGACTACAATGTTGGCATGGGATATCACTACAATGTTGGTATGTGATATCACTACAATGTTAGTATGTGATGTCACTACAATGTTGGTATGTGATGTCACTACAATGTCGGCATGTGATGTCACTACAATGTCAGCATGTGATGTCACTACAATGTTGGTATGTGATATCACTACAATGTTGGTATGTGATATCACTACAATGTTGGTATGTGATATCACTACAATGTTGGTATGTGATGTCACTACAATGTTGGAATGTGATATGACTACAATGTTGGCATGGGATATCACTACAATGTCGGCATGTGATGTCACTACAATGTCGGCATGTGATGTCACTACAATGTTGGTATGGGATATCACTACAATGTCGGTATGTGATGTCACTACAATGTTGGTATGTGATGTCACTACAATGTTGGCATGGGATATCACTACAATGTCGGCATGTGATGTCACTACAATGTCAGCATGTGATGTCACTACAATGTTGGTATGTGATATCACTACAATGTTAGTATGTGATATCACTACAATGTTGGTATGTGATGTCACTACAATGTTGGCATGGGATATCACTACAATGTCAGCATGTGATGTCACTACAATGTTGTTATGTGATATCACTACAATGTTAGTATGTGATATCACTACAATGTCGGTATGTGATGTCACTACAATGTCGGTATGTTATATTGCTACAATGTCGTTAAGTGATATCGCTACAATGTTGGTATGTGATATCGCTACAATGTCGTTAAGTGATATCACTACAATGTTGGTATGTGATATCGCTACAATGTCGGTATGTGATGTCACTACAATGTTGGTATGTGATATCGCTACAATGTCGTTAAGTGATATCACTAAAATGTCGATATATGATATCACTACAATGTTGGTATGTGATATCACTACAATGTCGGTATGTGATGTCACTACGATGTCGGCATGTCATGTCACTACGATGTCACTATGATATCGGTATGTGATGTCACTATGATATTGGTATGTGATGTCACTATGATCTACCCATGGCAAGGCAGTACACAGGGGACATGTAAGGAAAGTCCTCAAGTTGCAATAGACCTCCAAACTTGCCACCCACGCGCTCACACTGATATATATGTATATATACATGAAGTAATATATTCACATGTTTGTTGTGAAAGTTCATCGTGTAGATATTGGACATGTATACATGAACAAATGATATATGATTATCTCCCTTGGATTGACAGAAAGCTTGAGGTGCCTCGTGGTGAAAGAGTGTGGGTGACAGTATTGTCTACAGATGAGGGACATTTCACAGACTCTATGTCCGCAGATGGGGCACGGGTGGCCCAGTCGTCTAAGGCGCCGCGATTCGTTGTGCAGAGTTGTGTCCCCTGGACACGCCAGAAACTTATGATTGTTGGTTCAATCCCGGTTCGCCCCGACTATGTTTCTAGGTTTGTCAGCACCATACCCGTGCTCGTGGGTTTCACCAAAGTGCTAAAGGTCTGAGACCTGCATCACTTCGAGCTTTCCTTCCACATTAAGCTGACACGCCGTGATATGACTGGAATACTGTTAAAAGCGGCGTTAAACCAAACTCACTCACTCGGTGAAACCCACGAGCATGGGTATGGTGCTGACAAACCTAGAAACATAATCGGGGCGAACCAGGATTCGAAACCACAATAATAGGTTTCTGGCGTGCCTAAGGGATGCAACTCAGCACAGCGAATCCCGGCGCCTTAGACGACTGGGCCACCCGTGCCCCCGTTGGATATGTAATAAATGTGTTTCGGTGTCATAACATGTCAATTTTGATATGACAAAGAAAACCAAAACTGGATTTAATAACTTCTATTCATTTTCAAGACATTACCAAGACATGATCCTTCAGAACAATGGACTACTTTTCATGGAGCCAAAACGCCAAACGGTCATTTGGTCGCCAATCTCATTAAAGTCAGATCTTAGTTCTCGCTACCGCTAAACAAAGATCTGAGGACATCCCATTAGGGGTCATGTCAGAACAACCTTTCATCCGACCAATCAGAGCGTCGCTTACTAGATCATGAAAGTGACTATCGGAATGTGATTTCTAATCATGCAGCCTCGAAAACTTTAAAACGGGGTATTCCGAACAATGGTTACGGGCTTAGCGACTGAATCTATACAATCTAGACCATATATTAGCCATTCAAGAATTTATTTTGTTCAGGTTTCAAATTTTAAGCGAGAATTTGTCAAAATATGTTTCGAAGCGAAGTCGCCAATTTGAAATTAGTGCTGTAAAGCACAAGAAAGCTGCCTTCTGATTGGCTAATGTCAACTTCTTGTCAGTAATTCCATTGGTCGGTCAGAGTTTGCGAAAGGTCTGTCTGACGTGACCCGTAATGAGATGTCCTCAGATCTTTGTTCAGCGGCAGCGAGAGCTAAGATCTGATTTTATTGAGATTGTTTGGTAGCATATCTGTTGTGCATATAGTTATTTAAAGGTTTTAGATATGTATCAAGACGAAATAAGATTGGGGACACATTGGCGAGTCATTTCAGCCTCAGTAATCTCATGACCTGAAACAAATCTTGAGTTCTTGGGATTCGGTTTTAATTTATGCATTTGATGGAAGCCGTTCAAAAGTAAGATGTCAACCTTTGTTGGAGACATTCCAAAGGATTTTTTTGGTCAAACTTTAGACTTTTGAAACACTCCCTAACGAAGAACAATTGTAGGAATATTGAGCATCTAGTCATGTGCCCTAACAATGAATTGTTCATGAATACATCTGACGTCACTGCCGCATGCTTTAAAGTTTGCCTACATCCACATGCCCTTTGTATTGTAGACAGGGCCTAGATTTTCGAAACGATCTTAGCTAAGATAAATCTTAACTACTTACTTTCAAAGATAAGTTATCTTTAGGCTAAGATAACATAGATTTTCGAAACAATCGTAAACCTGTCACAGATCGCTCAGAACTACGACACCTATCTGTAGACCGAGAATAGCTCGAAGTCGTCAAGCGTATCGAGGGGACGAGTTCTGTCTCGGAATATCCTCGGTCTTGTCATCAAATCATTGTCCTCTTCATCATGAAAAATGTCCAGAGCAAAGTATGCCGCCATCTTGGATGAAGATAAAATAAACTTACGACAGGTATAGGGCTATCTTAGATTTACAACAAACTTATGATATCTTAGGGCTACGATAGTTTCGAAAATAGGCTATGATAGCCTACGATTTCCTTACGATAATTTTACGATAATTTTAGGGCTAAGATCGTTTCGAAAATCTAGGCCCAGGTCACACTCCGTCGCAGTGGTGACTCAGCATAACACCACTGCCACAGGCTAATTTGCATATCACGTGACCGGACTTTTCTCTTGTTTGTAAACAAACGCGCTTTTTCAGAAATCAGTATAGAACGGACTACTGCAAGTATTTGGGGGCGCTTTACATATTGTTTTGCATAACTATATAGATATGCTACTACAACTGCGGTAGTGAGTTGCATGACAATATATATTTATGCATCAAAGTGACCGTGTCGCTAGCTCTCCGTTGGGCTTCGATGACAGCACGTGGAGCCGTTCAACCAATGTAAACATAGGATAACTACGCAAAAACAAGTAGATTTTTACGTATTTGCATACTTTCTAAATAAAAGTTAACCATTCTTTGACATTTGTTTATGAAAATGTGTAGACTT